GGGTCAGCATGGGGGTCTGAGGGCATCATGGTGGGGTCTGGGGTCAGTTTGGGGGGTCTGAGGGCATTGTGGGGTCCACGGCAATGTGATGGAGTCCAGGAGCATCATTGGGAGGGTCCGGGGTCAGCATGGGTGGGTACAAGGGCATTGTGGGGAGTCTGAGCACATTGGGGGCTATAAGGGCATTCTGGAGGGTCTAGGGGCAACATGGTGGGGTTCAGGGCATCATGGGGGGTCTGAGGGCATTGCGGGAGGTCAAAGGAGAAGCATGGGAGGTCTGGGATTATTGTGGGGTCTCAAGGGCATTGTGGGGGCTCTGAGTGCATTGTGAGGGGTCTCTGGGCAGCATGGTGACATCCAGGGGCATCACGGGGGGTCACATGGCTGAATCGGCCCGAGCTTGGGCCAGTTTCAATGGCCGCCCTTCCAGAGGCAGATTTTCCAGCAGCCTGCCCCAGCCCTGGGCATGGGGAAGCTCTTTCTAAGTGGACATTTATTTAGGCCCAGAGCAAATTTCCTGACTGATAGGACATTAATTACTCTTCGTTTACTGTTGCTTTAGAGTGTCTCTTTCCTTGCAGCCAAGTCAGTGCGGCTGCGTGCATCGGGTGGAGTTAATTGATGAGAAATATCGCAGGCGCTGCGTAGAGGAGGCAGGGGTCGGCGCCTGCAGACTCATTTGGGACTAAATTATACCCCAGATGTCTCTTTAGCCTCCAAGGAGAATTCATCAACTCTGCTCTCCTTAACACACGCTCAAGCAACACCTTCTGGGCTACCAGTTTCTAAGAAACGTTGCTATCGCTAGGTATTAAAATAATGAAGAAAACATTTAAGAGGCAATGAGCGGGGGAAGGATCTCTCTTCTACAGAATCTGAAAAGGTTCTGTCAAAATTAAGGGCACTTGAAGTCCGCACACCTGAGGTGAAGGCTCCGTAACTCCCCACGGGAGGGGGAAATGTGAGTGCCCCGTGGCAGGCAGGGCTCCCGGAATCTCACTCCCACTGTGGTCAGCGGAGTCTGTCATGTATGAGGCCTCGCTGCCCGGGAGGGCGTGCTAGTTTTGGGCCAGAGTGGCCGTCCTGGAAAAGATCTATTCCCCATGCTTCCTTCTATGCATTCCGTTGTGGGGTTCCTGCCAGGGACCTAGTTTTGCCTGACACGCTCCTGCCTGCACCCTTGGACTCTGTGATATCATAAAAACAGTCACCTGTCGCTGCAGAGGGGAATTCGAGAGGGAGCCGGTAATAAGGTTGGGGCAGAGCGCTCCGTGCAGTGAAATGTAATTGCGTGGCAATTCTCCTGGAAGCGCCTGTGCTCGCCTGGCCCAGCAAGTGTCAGAGGAGCCGGCCGACTTGAAAGTCCCCCTTTCTGTGAGGTGCCCTGTGGTATCCTCTCTGAGTCCCCACCGATTCCAGGCACCTGCACCTGGTTTCCACCACCAGGGTGGGGTGGAGGGAGGCGGCACAGCAGGTGACCATGGAGAAGTCGGGCCCGGGGGCTTCCTGGGGAGCCCGTAAGTCTGTGGGAGGGAGTCTGGGTCTCGCTCCTGGGAGGCCAGGAGGCCTGAGTCCCCAGCCAGGGCTCTGGGTTGAGTCAGGGCTAAGCGGGCGTGGGGGGCAGAGAGGAGGGCTGGGATTTCTGGCCAAGTTTAAACCCTTTTTTCCGTTTCCTCTTACAGGGGCCACGTGGTCTGCTTGGGCCGAAGGGGCCCCCGGGCCCTCCCGGACCTCCCGTAAGTCCCATCATCGCTCTACCTGTCTGTCCCCATCTCGGCCCTTGAGACCTCCCCCCCTCCTAGTTGGTGGCCACTTGGCCACGGGGCAGCAAGTCTCCGCTGGCCCCCCTGACACCTGCCTGCTGCCCGTGTGAGGCGTGAGCAGGACTCCGCAGCTCAGGGCTGCAGACACGGCCCCAGCAGACGCGGCCTTGCAGGTGGAGGCCCGAGGCTGCCGGCCTCTTGCCTCTGCGTCACCCTGCTTACGTGGCCTCCAGGCAGACGGCATGTGCTATTTCAGTCATATGCAGAAACCCAGGATGTCACGTTTCTTCCCTGCTAGAAAGAACTTCCAGCAGCTTCTGTGAACATTCTAGAAGGAGGCTGAAGCCCTTGGTTCCAGTGGGGCTGTGTCCCGTTGGGCAGCTTCCCCAGGGCCAGGCCGGCCCCCTTCAGCCCTCCCAGCCCCGTGGCCTGGTTTTCTAGAGCCTGAGGCCCGCCCTCTGGGATGCTGGACCCACAGCTCAGTTAACCCTCTGCTGAGGGCCATTGGGGCTGATCCGTGGACCCGCTGGGGAGGGGATTTGGAGTCAGGTCTTTCTCCTTCCCCAGAGACTGTGCCGTCCCCTGATTCACTGTGGGACGGGCGTCTGAGCTGAGTTGAGTGGGATTTTCCTTTTGAGCACTGTGAGTTCTTTTGCCTTCAGTTACACGTTTTTCTTCTTACAATCGCATGCAGGGTGTAACGGGCATGGATGGCCAGCCGGGCCCGAAAGGAAATGTGGTGAGTCCTGGGGTCCCGTGGCCTGGCTTCCTGGGCTTCTCCCTAGCACACTCCTTGCTTGGCTAGGGGGGTCCATTACTGTCCACACCAGCTGGGAATGTGAGGAGGGAGGCTGCAGGCCCTCAGCTGTGGTGCCCACCCCCCAGTGACGAGTGGCCCCGGGACTGGCATGACGGGCTGACTTAGGAGTTTTCTGCCCAATCAAACATTTCTAGTCAGTTCCCCTCATGAGTTCCTTCCTGGACGATGTCTGGGTGTATTTGCATAAACGAGTCAGAGCTCACTCCGTCAGAGTCAACCTTCACCACCTCAGAGGCGCCCGGTCCTGGTGCTGCTCTCTCTGGCAGGACCCGGCCGCCTTTCCCGCCCTGCTGGCGTCAGCAGTGGGGAACAGTTTGAAAGGGTGGGAGGCCAGTGATGGGTACATGACACCCAGGGAAGGGGGTACAGTGCCTAGAACCCCCTTCAGTGCCTTTGCTCTTGTCTCCTGTAGGGTCCCCAGGGAGAGCCCGGCCCTCCAGGACAGCAGGGTAATCCAGGCGCCCAGGTAAGTGAGCCTGAGAGAGGCAGCTCATGGGCATCTGGCCATGGGAGGCACACGTCTCCAGCCCTGAGCCCTGGGAGGGAGTGGGGAGCTCTGCCCCCTCCAAGTTGCAGCCCTTGTCTGGAGGGACACTAGGACCTGGGTTGGTGTCCGGATGAGGGAGACATCAATGAGAAGATGGACGGATGGCGGGGAAGGTTCTGAGTCGGTCAGTGTCCTCACCTTCCCTCTTTGGCTCTTTCCCCCTCCCAGGGTGGTACAAGCCCCCCAGGGTGCTATCGGTCCTCCAGGAGAAAAGGTAGGTGGGCCTGGGCTTTGTTGGTGCATTCCCTGGCCCTGCCCCGGGAGGACCCCCTGCTGCCCGCTCGCTCTTCCTGTGTATCTTGGTGCTCCCCAGAGACGCCAAAGCTCAGAGCTCCAAGAACTGGGCCAAAGCATGAGGAGGATCTTGGATCCGTGTCTCCTTGAGTCATTCATTCATTCATTCATTCTCTAGCATTCAGAGGGGTTGCTGGATTTAGCAAGGAACAGAAATACAGACCATGCAGTTAAATCTGAACTGTCTTGTGTCTGGAATTCAGATGTCACTGGGCATCTTGTTTTGTTGTCATTTCGGTTTGGTTTAGTTTAGTTTTGCTAAATTTGGCGAGCTGACTATCTCCGAAGCCTACTGTGTCCCAGGCCCGGACTGAGAGCTGGAGGCACCTGCCCTGCTAGGCTTGTGGCCTGACCGGGCACAAGACAGCTCAGGTCGCTCAGAGCGCCTTGGTGGGACCAGCAAAAACACCTCCAAGGGGGTGGTTCTGAGTGCAGAGAACCCCCAGCGGCCCTGAGGAGCACAGAGGGCTGAGCCGCTGCTGGGCCTGGGACCTCCCAACCGCTGCTGTGTATGGGATGCTGAGGCTGTGGGCCCCACACTGTGGACCACCCTGCCCGGCCCTGGGGTGTTTGTGTGAACAGACCTGGGAGGACTTGGCAGTGGGAGTGCTAGAGGAAGGCAGAGCACTGTGAGCTCAGAGGAGACCGGGCGATGCCCCAGGAGCCCATGCAGCAGGTGGACGTGGAGAAGAAGGGGGCGCTTGCTCCGCTGATTCTGCCCACAGCAAACCCCAGAGGTGCTGAGAACAGACGGGTGGAGCCGCCTCCCCGTGGCCTGCCGTGGCTGCACGCCTCAAGCCCGGGGACCCGGGGCCTCTGACCGCACTTCTCAGCAAGTGCTGTGTGCACAGGAATGTTGAAAAATAACCCCGTGGGCCTAGGGAGGGGACAGACCCCAAGGGCATCTCCTCATGGAGTCTTTGCTTTGTTCTAGGGTCCCTTGGGTAAACCAGGTCTCCCAGGAATGCCTGGTGCTGATGGACCCCCGGTGAGTAGCCCTGCCCATGTCACCCCTCCACGTTCTCCCACCTCCACCCCTGGGGATAGGGGCTGTGGGCTCCTTGGGGTCGTTGGACGGCATTGACTCACACTGGCCCTGTTGATGAAGACCCATTTGGTCTCCGGCTTGGCTGCTCAGTCATTCTTGGGTTTTGGACACGCTTTGCATCCTGTGCCTTAATCAAAGAGCGGTGATTGCATGAGTGGGAATGTCAGCTGTTTATTAGGGTGTGCTGTTTAATCACCGGAACTCAGGCCTGCGTTCCGAGCCCTGAGGAGGGCCGGGCCGGGCTCCGGGCCTTCGCTTGCGTCCCTGGGGTTGGAAGCGAAGAGGCAGGGTACGTGGTGTGTATTTTTAGTGTTCACGCACCCAGAAGGGAGGTGGTGAGCAAACCCGTCTGCCATGTGTGCGCGCACAGCTGTGGAGCCAAATTAGATCCTGCCTGGAAATAGCGAGTTGGTGACAAATCCAATCTGTGGCGAAGCTGTGTGGAGGGGGAGGTGTGAGGAGGGGAGCACACTCAGAGTGTGTGCGTGCGTGTGGGCACACGTGCGTGTACACGAGTGTGAATTTATGTGCACCCCACACCCTCCCCTTAAGCACCTGCTGTGTTTTTGGTTTTGATTATTCAGTTGATGCTGTACGAGAACCTATTTCAGAAACAGGATTAGCGGAATTAATTATTGAAGACACAGCGGGCTTTATGGTTTTAATAACACTGTTAGAAACTAAACAAGGAAGTTAAATATGTGGACGATTATGGGTGGCTGCTCCCCATGCAGCATCCCTCGGGCGAGGCGGTGGGTCCAGTGACTCACACATCACACACCGCCTTTGTTGGTCAGAACGAGCAGAGCGGACCTTTCTCATCCCCTCGAGGGCAGCTGTGGGGCCCCGAGGTCAGCTGGCCACGTGGCAGTTCATGTCCTGCGTGGTTCATCTTTCTCAGTGTGTTATTTGTGTCCCATAATATTTATTTTTCATCACCCTCTCTAATTATCAGAACATCACATCTTGTGATAGAAAATTGGGGAAATAAATAAAATTACAGTAAAACGAAAGCCACCCCCGATCCCGTCTCCCGATTTAGCCACTGACAGCAGGTGGACATGTGTCCTCCCAGTTTCTCTGTCCTCGTGCTGCTGGCCGTGGTGTCAGTGGTTTGGGCCGCAGTCCGTGGGGACAGCGGCCGGGCCCAGAGCCTGCAGGGAGGAAGGGGGCTGGGTGTGACGTGGACCGCACCCCGCTTTCCTGACACGATCTTTCTCTCGGCCCTCAGCTGACCTAAATTGTTCTCCCTGGAATTCCCCTCCCCGTGTTGAAACCTCCATAGAATTGGGGTCCCTAAAGAGCCTGCAGTTTCCTTTTGTATTCTGTGGGGAAGGAAGGGCCTTTAAGATGTCAGATGTCCCTTCCTCAGCCCAAATTTAAACTTTAAAATGAGAGTGTAGGCGGACCCATTCATATGAAGGTGCTTCAAACAGAAGGAAAGCCACGGGTAGGCCCGAAGACAGACAGAGCCCTCTCCTGCGAATCTGGAGGAAAGGAATGATCTTTAAAAATTCTCTTTTACAAAGGCAGCACATTGAGGTTAAGCCTTACAGAGAGAGGTTGCTTTTCTTCTTGTTTTGATTTTGCTTTCAAAGAAAGGAAGATTGCCTCGAAATCCATCCAGAAGTGTCAGCTGCTTCAGCTCAGAATCAGTGCCCTGAAAAATGTCGAATACTTCCTGGGAGCACACGCTGGGGAAATGGGGAAGTGAATTACGGCTCAGTGGAATATTACAGAGCCAGTAAGAATTGAATTTAAACAAATACTCAGTGACATGAGACAATGCTCACCATGTGATATTAGATTAAAGACAGACCTGCCGTGCCGCTGTGCGTGCGTATGCGCAGAGAGAATAGAGGAGATTCTATGATACAGTTAGCCACAGCCACTGCGAGCCGGGAGGTGATGAAGGGCTTTAATTCCTCTTCCCCTTGCCTAAGTGTCTACGAGGAACATACATTACTTTTTTAATCAGAAAATATCAAATGCAAATAATGTAAGCTTTGTTATTTTCCATTACAGAAACGATGCTCATTATAGTATATTGTGAAACGCACGCAAGTAGAAAGAAGCGGGAACGTGGTCCCGCCCGGCTTTGCAGGGAAATCAGTCAGGGCTATCTTGTTATATTTCCTCTCTGCCTTTTCCTATTCAAACGTTGTTATTTTATTTATCTATTTTTGAGACGGAGTCTTGCTCTGTCACCCAGGCTGGAGTGCAGTGGCTCGATCTTGGCTCACTGTATCCCCCACCTCCAGGGTTCAAGCGATTCTCCTGCCTCAGCCTCCCGAGTAACTGGGACTACAGGCGCCACCATGCTCCGCTAATTTTTGTATTTTTAGTAGAGACGGGTTATCACCATCTTGGCCAGTCTGGTCTCGAACTCCTGACCTTGTGATCCACCTGCCTCTGCCTCCCAAAGTGCAGGGATTACAGGCGTGATGACTGCGTCCAGACAAATGTTGTTAATGAGGGAGCTCTGTGCTTGCCCCACCTGCTCACCCTCATTCTATACTGCAGCTGAAACTATACCTAAAGGACTTTGGCCTGGATGTGATTGGAAGCCACCATGGTGCCGGCGGCTAACTCTGCTTGGCGCTCGCTGGGTGGTCGCAGTCCGGAGCGCTTTGCTGACGCGCTGTGCGTCTCCACGCCAGTGCCATGCGCAGGTGTGCTGCTGCCTCAGCCTGCAGCTGAGGAAACCACCATGTGGAGAGGCCTAGGGGCTTCCCCGAGCAGCCGGGGCTGGGGCTGGCCAGTCAAGAGCCGGGCTCTTGGTCCCCTGCAGATCCGCCCACCAGGTCCTTCACAGAAAGGTGTCTGTGGTTGACAGAAACTGTGCTAAAGGCCCACAAAGAGCCCCTCTGGCCACCCTGGAGCAGGACACCCTGTTGTCGGCTCTGTTTGGGCCTGGCCACCGTGAGGTGCTGGCACCATGAGCCTTGTTTAAGGAAGGCCTGTGGTGGCCAAGTGTGGCCCCTCCAGGCTGGGGCAGCGGGTGGGGTCCTGCAAGTGCCTGAACTTCCTCAAAGCCTCTCCCAAGGGGAAATTTGCACTCTCCCACAAACTTGTTGCTAGGATAGGCTATCTGCAAAGGCATCCAATCCAATTGGACAGCTAATAAAAATTGAAAAGTCACACACAAATAATTTAATTGAGGTGGTGAGACTTGGGTCTTCTTAACACTACTGTGTCTAGAAAGTCTCGGATCAGCGTTAGGCCACTCACGGTGGAAGAGCACCTCGCAACCCTCTCCTGTTACACCCGAGGAAGCGGGGGCCCAGAGAGGGCAAGTGACCTGCCCAAGTTCACACAGCAGGATGAGTGTATCCAGGAATAGGACCAGACCCCGCCCTGCCAGCCTCCTCACCACGCTGCTCAGCCTCTTTCCTGGAATCCTCACTGGTGGAACTGCGTTTCCGCACAGTGAACACGGACGGATGATCTTTCTGCTTTTGCCCTGGACATCTGGCTCACCGCCCTGAGCTCACAGCCATTAAACCGGGTGACCCACCTGTGTTGGAAAGTCAGCGAGACCTGCATTCCTAGGAATGCAATTAGTATAGGTCCAGGCAGTCAGGGGCACCGGTCCTTCCTGGGAACACGGCTGGGCAGCTGTCACGGGGGGGATAGGTCCTCACCCTCGCTCAGCTCCCCTCCATCCCTGAGGCCAGGTCTCGAATGAGGCACCTGTGTGAAGACTCAGGGATGTGCCGGGACCCCTCAGTGAAGTGACCCACCCTAGCCCTCCACCCCCACAGCAAAATTGCTTTGCTTTTGGTTCCCCGACAATCAGAGATTCTGAGGTTTGCAGACAGCCCAGCAGTTGCTAGTCCAGGACGCGGGGATGCCCGGAACCCTGCCCCAGCTCATCATTGTGCGGATTTATCTTGCCAGCGGACCTGGGGAAGACGCCCATGTTGGCCCTGTCCCCACGCGTGCATCGCTGGTCTGTGGAGCTGCACTGGGGGGCGGGGCTGGCTCTGGCCGGGTCAGGAGCCACCGTGCAGGTCACCTGTGTGCTTGGGGGTTTGCTGCACCCTACCAGTCCTCCCACAGTGGTTCTGACAGTGGCCGGGGCCGGGCTTATTGTTGCCATTTTGCAGATGAAGCAGCTGAGGTCCAGGGACTAAGTGCCCAGCTCAAGGCCTGGCAGCTCGGTGAGGCCGGGCCGTGCTTGGCTGCCTGTCTGGCTGCCTTTGCCTTCTGGTGCTCTCAGTTTTCCTGGGGAGGGAGGGAAATGGGGGGCTTCCGTGATCACGGGTGCTGCGCAGGGAGGGGAAGTGAGGGAGGCTGCTTTCTGGAGTGGCGCTGACTAATTAAGGCTTCTTCTTTTGTGACAGGGCCACCCTGGCAAAGAAGGCCCTCCAGGAGAGAAAGGAGGTCAGGTGGGTGCTCACCATGCCCTCCTACCCTTCAGCATCCAGGCGGGGCGGGTCCTGGCACCCTGGGCTCAGCCTCTGCTCAGGGCCACCCAGCTTGGAAAAGAAAGAGCCGGGGACACTCAGCCCTTCTGCAGGTGTCTCTGGCAGGGAGCCCAGCCTGGGGGACACAGGCCTTTTCCCTGAGAAGGGGACCGGCACCCCTGTCTGGATCAGTGCCTGTCACCCCACCCCATGACCAGGGCAGGTGAGGGCAGGTGCAGGCAGTGGGTCAGTGGCACGGTGTTCAGCCCTGGCCTTGACTCTGCACAAGCTGGGTGACCTCTGAGTTGTGGGGAGATACTGTTATGAACAGGGACACCACTAGGTCATGCTGGTGCCAGGGGTGGGGTCTTTCCACGGATGCCCGTGTCCGGCACTGTGAGAGGCTTGTGGTTCCTCCTGCGGGGCCTGCTGGGCCTGCGAGTGTCCCATGCAGCACGTCCACCATCAGCGCCTTCTCTCTGCTGTGATTCATGACAAAGCTGCGGGGCGTGTCTCTGTGGGAAGAACCCACAGACAGGAAGAGAGGCCAGCGGGGCTGCTGTGACTGCTCTGGTGTGCCCCAACCTTCGTGCCCCCGAGACCACTTTTCTTGTGTGCTGAAGCTGCACACTGAGCTCAAGGTCATCGGGAGCCCGGGGCTGGGGCTGGGGGCAGAGGCCGCCTACACCAGGGTTCCAGAGGTCCCATGTCACAGGGTCTGGGATCAGGCCGGGATGCCAGACTTACCTGCATCTCTTGAAGCAGGGCCCGTGCAGGCAAGATGGGGTCTGGGGTTTGGTCTCAGGTGCCCCTGCCGAGGGTGTGGTAGGTCAGGCCTGACGCTCCGGGGCAGCCGAGCTGGCACCAGTCCTCACAGGGAGTTCCCACTTCCGGGCCCAGCCCTGCTGGGCAGTGGGGCTTCTGCAGCTTGCTGCCTCCGAGACCCAGAGGGTCCTGAGATTCGCCTCTGCTGCCCTGCTCCCTCTCCTGAAAGTCACAGCAGCCACTGGGGTGACCCTCCCCTGGGCCCTTGGCTTCTGTTCCCCATAGGAGGCCCGGTCCCCGCTGCCCCCAGTGGGTGGTTTGCCAGCACCCCCTCCTGGGCACAGCCTCTTGCCTCTATGTCCCACTCAGCATGAGACGGGGCCACCGGAGCTCACACAGTGCCCGGAACTGGTGCTGGCCATCCGCTGGTGTTTGGAGCCCAGAGCACAGGCCCGCTGTTCTGAGAGCTGGCGTTTCAGCTGGAACCAGAGGCATTCCCTTGTTCCCTGGACTTCCTGAGTTCCTCTGTGTGGCAGGCATCCTGTTAGTGATGGGATGTGGCAGGGAACAAGGCAGACCAGGCCCTGGCCTCAGAGCTGCAGCCTTGCGGAGGGGGCCACCGAGCCCATCCTGTCTGGGGCTGAGCTGTCCCCATGACGCCGTGTGGAATGAGGGCTGGGAGGGAGGGGTGGGAGCCGTTCACCACGCAGGTGTCTTGGGCTGGGGGCAGGCGGGAGGGATGCCCAGCCCCGTGAGCTCTGGATGAGCTGCCCCTGGCTGCTGGACATGTCTCTTCCCTGCCTACCGGCCTTGCCCCTTCTCCCAGCCGGAAGCTCTCCTGATTTATGCCAAAGGGCTTAGGCTGGGGGTGCATTTCTCTAGGGACAACTCCCCTTGCAGAGCTCCAAAGCTGGCCTCTCGCCATCCAGCATTCCCTCAGCCCACCCCTTGTTTCCCTGACTGCCGGGTGGGACCAGCGTGTGCTTCACCTGTGCCCCGTTCAGTGTGAGACACAGCCATGCCTCCGCCTTCAGAGCCGGCTGTGAGCACCTGGGCATGTCTCCCACGGAGCCTCTCTGGAGGCGCTGGGCTGGGATATGGGGCTGCTCTCAGCGGGAGGGGATATCCCAGGACTCTGGAGCTTCCTGATGCCCCCCCAGGGACCCCCACACTGGCATGGGGCTAACGGTCTTTTCCCCTTTGGTTTTAGGGTCCCCCTGGCCCCCAGGGTCCGATCGGCTACCCAGGTCCTCGAGGAGTCAAGGTGAGAGAGACTCACGCTGCTCCAGGCCTCCCTGGAGGTCAGGGTTGGGACTGCAGGCCTTGGTGTGGCTGGTTTTAGGGAATTCTCTGTGGTTAAATGTCCCTGCAGCTCAGACTGGAGTAGCCCAGCCCTCCCAGTCACTTGCGTGGACACTAGGTCTCAGGACAGCAGGCCTGAGTGGGTAAGGGTGCGACCAGCCGGAGTCAGGAGGGCTGATGTGGATCAGGGGACAGTCTGCAGACTGGTGACGAAGCTGGTGGCGCGCTGGCAGCCATCTGTCGGGACGAGACACGTCCTTTTGCTTCTTGTGTCTTTTATTGTTGCCATTTGTCGGGCTTCTGCCACTCCCCTCGCAGACAGCGGATCTCGGCAGAGGCAAAGAGCTTGGCCTCTTTCCTGGGGAAGCTCCCAAGAATTTCTTCCCAGCCATTTGCACATTCCGAGTGAGAAAGAGAGTCTGTCTCCACCGGTGGCACCTGGGCGGGCCAGCGCCGTCACAAGACGGAGTTTCGAGGGAGATGGCCATTTATTCACAATCAGTCGTGTTTCTGCCAGGAAGGGCTCTGACAACCTCGTTACGTGGGGCGCGCAGCTCCAGAGCAATATCCCAGACACAGGTCCCTGCTGTCACATCCCAGCTAACGGTGCTTGCTCGGAGCTGGGTAATGCAATCTCGAGCTGTGCTGCTCTCTGGACACGGCACGTTTTTGTGCAGAGAGCCGGACCCCGAGGTGCACGTGGACAAGCTCTCTTCTTCCTCTGAGAATGGGGACTTGGGGTATCATAAAGGCTCATGATGATTCTTTCCTTCGGGATGCTTTTAACTGGATGTGAAGGAATTTGTGTGTTTATATAGCAACTAGGGAAGCTTGAGGGATCTGTAGAAACAGCTGATCCGCTCCCCTGCCCTCACCTCCCCGGGTCCAAGGCCTGCGTGCTTTCCAAGTGTTGTTGTGCATCTGAAGTGTGTGGCCACCGTGGGGCATGGAGGCCGACTGGCAACGGTCCCCTGCCCCGAATCAGGCCTACTGGCTCTGGCCGGTCACCCCCTTACCGGCTCTGAGAACCCAAGACATCAGTTTCTAGTGACATGCCCCAAATGACACTAAAATCAAGGCTGCTGTCAGACATCAAACCAGATTCCAAATCAAGTGCCCCATCCTTTTCCCTGGGAGGCCCGGACTTGCATTTCCCAGGAAGGAGGACATTCCAAGATCACAAGTTACTGAAGAGAGACCTCCCGACAGTTGGTTTTTCCCCAAAGCTGGCTTCTACCAGCAAAATGCCTAGCGAATTTTATCAGGGTGATAATTGAGCAGAAATGCTGATTATGTGAGTTCTATAGCATGTTTATTTTACAAATTCCTGTCGCATAGCAGAAGCCTCTGCCAGCTCCCATACATGGCTAATTGCATAACGCTGCTTCTGTGAGCTAAAAAGGTGTTTGCTTTAAAATGTTTATGGAGAATGCTCTTATTTTGTCTGTCTGATTAAAATTCATTCATGACATGAGCAATCCAGTTAGACTTGGAAGCAGAGGGTGGAAGGAAAACTGAGGTTTAAAATAATTTTCATCTGGGAAAAAGTTTCTCATGCTCCCGTGCGTTTGGAAATGTGAGTGGTGCCGGCTCCTCATGAGCTTGGCCCGGGCGGCGGTGATGGCGGCGGGGCGTGGGATTGCGTGGGCCAAGCTGCTGCCATTGGAGGTGGACGGTCCTTGGCGAGAGGGGGCTCGTCATTTTCCACCAAAGCCCTACCTTCTTCCCAGGTAATGGTTCTTAGTCCACTGGGGCTGCTATGACAAAAAGATTCTAAAATGGGTGGCTTATAAACAACAGGAAATTATTTCTCACAGTCCTGGAGGCTGGGAAGTCCAAGATCTCAGCACCCGCAGATTCAGTGTCTAGGGAGGCCTGCTTTCTGGTCCCCTCTCACTGTGTCCTCACATGGCAGAAGAGGGGAGATGAGACCCTGGGGCCTCTGGTGAGGGCACTAACCCTAATCACAGGGGCCCCACCCTGGGACCCAGTCAGTCACCTCCCCAAGGCCCCGCCTCCCAGCTGTACTGCCCTGGGTATTAGGGTTCACCATGTAAGTTTTGGAGGACACAGACATTCAGGCACAGCAGGCTCCCTTTGTGTTCCTTTGAGTTCACTGACCTTTGGCTTCTGTCTGGACCTTCCTCTGCCTTGCATTCTGAAGGGGCACTTGTTTAAGCGTGACTGGCAGATTGAGAGTCAAAGTCAGGCCTGATTTAGCCCCCAGCTGCGAGGGGGTTGCCAGGATGCCCCAAATATGAGTTCGTATCGGGGCCTTGGGCAAAAGTCTGCCCCTCTCTGCGCTGTGTGCATATCTGGCCCAGCTGTGCTACAACTTCTGAGTGCTCCTTCCCTGGGGCTGCTGGCCGGCGTGTCGCAGAGGCTCCAGTCTAGTCCTTCCTGCCTGCCTGGGGAGTGCCCTCTAACGGGAGGTGCTGCACACCCCACCACGCACACGGCAGCCCCAAGTCAGCAGCTCCGTGGCTGAGAAACCCTGGGAAGCTCTGGTTCTGTCTAGTTGGTCCCATTCCTCTGACGGGGATCCTAAAAGCGTAGAACTGTAGGACCAGGAGGGGTTTCAGGAGCCTGTGGTCCTACCCGTCTGTTCTCAGCCGGGCAAGGCCAGGGTGGGAGCAGCAGTGTCCCCTAGCCTGCCCAGAGAGAGGGGGGCAGGTGCCGATGCCTCCTGCACGCTGTACCAGGGAGCTTAGTGCTCCTGGAAAATAGCACCAGCCACACAAACCTGGTGCCCCGGGACTCACAGCAGCGAGGGGCGCCGGACATCGCCTTGCATTTAGGGTCAGACGCTGCCGGACAGGCTCAGCCCTGACTGTATTCTCAGCCACACCTGCGGTTTTCCTGTGCGCTTCAGAGGAAATAAGTGGAATCTATAGCTGCTATTCTGTTTTGCAAGGGTGGTGAGAACTCAAAACTACCCTAAAAAAAGAAAGTAGCTCATCTCCTAAGAAGCCCTTCTCTGTGGCGTCCTGGGGCTATCGTCTCTGAGGCAAGGCCCCGCCGTGGTGAGACGGCAGGTGACTTTCTGGGGCCCCCAGCTCTGTGTCAGCCTGCGTGGCCCTCCCTGTTCTCTTTTCCTCTGGGGGCTTCCAGGTAGGATTGCTTCAGAAGAAGGCGTCTGCTGGGAAAAAAACACCACCAAGTGCTTGGAAACCACTCGCGTCTCGGCAGCTGGCCCGGCTGAGTCACTTCCCACCTTTCCGGGCTGCTCCGGCCCACAGGTGCTGCCAAGCGCATGCTGCGCTCCAGTGGGGCGGGGGGCAGCGGCCTGCAGCGGGCTGTCCTGAGCCTCCTGGCGGCTTGGCTGGCCGCTCCCACTCGGCCCAGAACGCGCCAGGCGTGTTTGGCGCTTCCTCTCCGTCTTGAGGTCCGTGTCCCATCTCAGGCTGGGGCAGAGTCTAGCGTGGGGGAAGCTTGTTTGGAGTCGGCCTCCCTGCTCGGGCTGGTGCCAGTTCTGAGCTGTGCCCTGTCCCCCCGAGGTACTCGGTGCTGGCCCATGTTAGCGAGCCGAGTGCCAGGCCAGGCGAACCAGAGCTGCTCCGAGCCCACCCTGCCCTCCCGGCTTCCTCGGCCCTGTGCTGGGCGTGGAGGGACGTGTCCCAGGCCTCTCCCCTAGTGGTGGTGGCCAGGTGTGGAGCAGGCGTGACTTGGGCAATGGTGCTGGCAGGCGCAGTGGCAGAGCTCTTGCTTGACCCTGTGCTGCAAGTCCAGTGATCGTGGTTTGGGGCACCCACGCCGCTGCTCTGTCTGCGTGGCTGGAAGTGGAAGGTGCTTCTGCAGAGACGTCCGCTGCTCCTCGGGAGGGCCAGGGCACGAGGCCCACGCGCCAGCTCTGCGGAAAGGAGCACCTCCATGTCTCCATCCCTTCCCAGAGCCCCTTCCTTTCTGGGGAAAGGCCAGAGCTGCCAAGTCTGTGGGAAGTTCCGGCCACCAGAGGGCAGCGGCAGCCCCTGCATCCTCCAGCGCCCAGTGGCCCTGGCTTCAGCTTCAGCCTGGAATCCCAGGGGGAAGTGTGGCTTCTCTCTTTCACGTCCCGTGGGCAGTGGCCCGAGGTAGTCTCCCTAGCTAAAAGTCAGCCTGCTGGGAGGGCTGAAGTCAAAGACATTAACAGCAAGTGTGTGGCTGCCTAAGTGAGCCCCACGGATTTCCCTCCACTTTCCCCTGGTGAGAATGTCAGCAGGGAGCTGGGGTGGCGTGTCCTGAACTGATGAGAACCACAATAAGCGTTATCGTCCTTAATCAGTAATATCACAGTATCATCTATTAATGACAACACAGAATCAAAATAGGTAGCTTATTGAAAGCTCCTGTGTGCTGGGTGCTGTTCTGAAGGCCTAGCAGGCATTTCCCTCTGAGCAGTGGTAACGGGGAGAGGGTGGCCATCCTCTCCTCTTCCCAAATGAGGAAACCGAGGCACACAGGAGTCTGGGGCATTGTCAGAGGCCACAGAGCGGCAGCTGGTACCTCATCGTCTGCCTGACTCAGACCCCACTTCCTGCCCTCCCCAAACCTCAGAAAGGTGGGGGCGTTTCTAGAAGATGATTTTATAATGGGAATCAGGGTGGGTGTGTTGGCTGTGGGGTGTGGGCCCTTGGAAGGGCGGATCCAGAACTTGAGCTGGAAGGCCAGGGACGGGTGTGGGTCTTTACATAAAGAACAGGAGTCAGTGGAGTCAGGCCAGGACTCCCGAGGCCACAGGGGGACACATGGGAGGGACTGTGTCGAGGGCGGGGCGCCAGCCTCATCCATCGGCTTCGGGGAGCTCAGCCCGTCTTTGCACTTGGGGCTTAGACCCGTGCCTGCGAGAGCGCTAGACAGGCTGAGATTGCTAACCACTTGCTCTTTTTCTTTCCCACCCACACAGGGGGCTGACGGCATCCGTGGTCTGAAGGGCACGAAGGGCGAGAAGGTGAGTCTGTCCCTGCTGCCGTGGGGCCCCCTGCCTAGTCTGGAGCCGGATTCCAGCCAGCGGCCCCTCCCACGATGCTTCCACTGTGAAGCCAGCTGAGGTGGATGTCGTCTCTGTGTACCAAGGGGAATGGATGGCACTCTGGAAAGTGTCTGTTTGCAGATGGAAAAACGATACCTTGAGGAGGACAGACCCTCGGGTCCCCTGGGGCACATTCCTGGCGGGGCTGAGTGGGTCTGGGGTTTGTGCCTCTGTACAGGGAGGAGGCCCTGGCCTCAGAGGTGACCCACAGCCCCCCATGTGCCTGCAGGGGCAGCGGACCTCTGCCCGCTCCCTACTCCCAGGTGGGCAGCCTTGCATGGCCGCTGACACGAGGATCCATTCAGTTGTTGGATGTTCCTCCCTGGGCAGCCCCACAGCTGCAGAAACTCACACCATGCCATAGAGCCAGGCCCGGAGGGCGAGGCCGTGCCATTGGCCATCGTCAGTGGGTGCAGGTCAGGCCTAAGTGGGTCACTGTGGCTAAGACAAGGCTAAACCACACCCCCATGTATGTCTACCAGAGTCAGAACATTGGGTGCAGCCTGTGGCAGTGAGCGCCTGAGCCACGTGGAGCTGCCTGGGCAGCCACGTGTCTTCTCACTTTGGTGGAAGGAAGCTCAGAGCCAAACCCAAGGCCCAGTCATGACACAGATTTAGGCCTCGGGGTGGCCTCACCACTGGGTGGGGTGCTGCCCTCCCCACCGTGGGCTCCCGCTCTGCTGCGGGTCCTCCCTGCCGTGCTTTGTAGCCATGGGGTGCTTGTTCTCCATGAGGCACGCTGGACCCCTTTGCTGGGCAGACCCTGGACTCTCCCTGGCCGCAGGGGCCTGTGGGGCTGGAGTGTGGTCACTGGCTGCTGGGATGATCGCGTGCTGAGACTCCTTATTTGCCAACTGTCAAAGATGTCGCTTGGATTCTTTCCTGTGAAATCTGCCAGCCTGAGAGCCATTCCCGAGGGGGCGCGTCGTGTGGCCACAGCTGAATCCGAAATGAGGCGGCAGCAGGAACGTCCTTGTTCCGTGGCGTTTGCTGAGCGTGACTGTCCCTGGTTTCTGTTCTCAGTGGCTGCCCTTGTGGGAGGCCCAGCCAAGAGGCCTGAGCCTGTGTGCCGGCCCCACTCCTTCCCGAGTGCACCTGCTCAGCGAAACCCGAAGTCCACATCCGGGAAAGCTCCTGGGCAGCTTGGCCTCTCCAAGAGCGCTGCCTTCCACATGGAGCCCGCTGGGGCTTCGGAACACATCCATTCCCTTACGGAACACAGGGTCCCCAGCCCAGAGCTGCGTCCCATGGGTCCCCAGGGTCTCCCTCGCCTGAGGACCTTTCATCCTTTCGAAGGTGGCTTCACAGAGTCCAGCTTTGCCACTGTATCTTCTCACATGTGTCCCTAGCCAGAGACAGGGCTGCTTGAGATGATATTGATGGGATTGTGCTGGGGACACCTTCTCGCCAGGAGGGCAACCACGCTGCTCCCGAGGGCCACGCAGGCAGCCGAGATGGTCTGGGGACGGGGGCAGCGTTGGGTGGGGACAGGGGGCAGTGTCGGGGGGCCATCTTTGTAGATGTCTGCATTATTTGTGGCTGCTGCCAAGCTTGCAGCACGATGTGAACAGTGTGGACAAAGGCCTGGGGCCCTGGGGGCGCTGGGAGCTGCCGCCGGCTGGAGAGGGCTGGATTCTGACCGCACAGAAGGCTGCCTTCCTTGTGTGTGCTCCGGGCCGGGCCTTGAGTGTTTACGATGTGGCTGAGTCCCAGATCCTGCCCTTTCGCTCTTTTTGCATCAACACGTAGCCCATGAAAAACGAGAGGAAAAGCCCAAGCAAGGGCCCTCTCTCTGGGGCCGCCTGTGCCCTGCGCAGAAGGACCCAGCGCTTTCGCCCTGTGCTTTCCTGGATGGGGAAGGCCCAGACCGGGGACGCGAACGGACAGCAGGGCACCGACCTTCGGCAACCTCACTTCTGTCCCAGATTCGCCAGCAGCCCTGGGGTGTGTGGGCTGCCGACTTCCCCCGCCGCCCCCGGCGACACCCCCACCCTTCAGAAAGAACTGCCTATGGTTGTAACACTGGCAAGAGCAGGAGTTAGGGATTCTTTGCAGGGGCCTTTCATCCAGCGCCACCTCCTCCGTTGTCACCGCCTTTCCCCGTCACTGGCTTTGGTGCTGATGGGATGTCACAAAGTGCACTGAGAAACGATGCCTGGAGCTCGGGGCCTGGGCTTGCTGAGGCCTCGCCGCGCAGAATGTTCAGATTCAAACCAGGCCCACCTGAGAAGCAGGGACGAGGCTGTCTCCAGCTTCGGAACGTTTGAAGCTTCAGCCGGGAATGCAGAGCTCACGGAATGCCATTCTTGAGGGGCGGGCCCCGAGCCCACCCCGTCCGGGGCCTGAACTGCCCCCCAAGGGTGGGGGACCTGGTGCTGCGTGTGGCTGTTAGAGCAGGGAAGGGGACGGCAGGGAGGCGGGTCCTCTTGTCTCGACTAAGGCCTTCTCCTGTCCCATATTCAGGGTGAAGACGGCTTTCCTGGGTTTAAAGGAGACATGGGCATCAAGGGTGATCGGGTGAGCATCTCAGGTTTGGGATTTGGGCTGGGGAAAGGCTGGGTGGGCTTGGCCGGGTGGGAGGGGGCGGGGATGTCTGCAGCCACAGGGTAGCTTCTCAGGATGGAGGGAAACTCTCGGCAGAGGTTCCTGGTGGGAAAGGGATGGTGGCCTGGAGCCCAGTGCCTGACTCTCTCTGGCTCCTCTTCACCTCCTCCTCAGCTTGCCCCTTGGGGACTGGAGATGGCCTGTGGTCGCCAGCTCCTCTGCCCGGTGTCCCACACAAGGGGTCAGTGGGGGCTGGGTTTGCTTCTGGCTGCTCCTGTGGACTGCAGAGTTATTCACCTGACTGGAGAGTGATGTGCCTGGGAAGAGAAAGGCAAGTGGCCTCGGATAGGACCCAGCCTCCCTGGGAGCGCAGCCACGGACGGGACCCAGCCTCCCCGGGAGCGCGGCAGCTGCCCAGGCCATAGGGCCAGCGCTTGCAGGGCAGCATGCAACGTGGGTCTAGGATCCCTGCGAGCCTGGGGAACATGCTGGTCCCCAAACACTTCTTCAGGGGCCCTGGGACCCCCACGCAGTCCTGTGGTCTGTGATTTTGGCTCAGGAGAAGCCACAGCACCCTGGCTTGTCTTTAAATGAATGATGTAGCTCAGTCCAGAGGAAGCTGGTGGGTGCTGGGAGCAGCTGGGGCTTGCCAGCAACCACAGAAAGCCGGGGGCTGCACATTCCCGTAATTAAAGGGAAAGTGACGCCAGGGGCAAGAAGGAGGGGTAGGGAGCCCTTAGAGCAGCCAGGGCAGGCCGAGAGCCTCTTGGAGGTCTCCCCAGTAACCTCTCAGTGAGCGGAAGCCCAGGCAGAAGGAACCGAGACGTCTCGGCCCTCCGGTGAGCACAGCCGCGGTGACAGCTGTGCACGCACCGGGACTGACATCTGTCTGCTGCAGCAGGGCTGTCACCCAGCTGCCGTGATCGTCCCCTGCCGCACAGGCTCGCAGGTGGCTTTCCAGAACAGGAAAGCCACACACACTTGGCACTTCGTCCCAACCCGGCAGGCAAAAGGCAGAGGCAATCTGCACCTCTGTGGGAAGGCAGGAGGAGGAAGGAGGGCATTTGCTTCGCAAGGTTGTCCCAGTTAAGTGGCTGCTAAACACACCCATTCTAGAACTTCCTTCTGGGTGGAAGGCTCCCGAGTCCCCACAGCTCAGCAGCCTCTCGGTTTGATGGTGAAAGTCCCTTTCTCCTCCTTTCTGATGCCTCTGTGCACGCACGTAGTGTGCACATTACGAGGGTGCAGCTTCAGAGGAGACGACACGCATTCCTGTGCCAGAGCTCCGGGAGTCGCGCTCGTGTTGCCGTGGGACGAGCATGGGATGCAGGGCTGGGAGCCCAGGGAACAGGACCGCGAATCTGGGCTCAGAGAGCGCAGCCGGGCACTCTGCCCCTTCTCAGCGCTCTGTACATGTGCACAGGATTATCTCGTTGAACAAGAGGAACGCCTCTTAGGGACAGAGAGTCCCGATCTGATGACAGATCAGAGCTCCAGAATTAGGAAGTTAGCTTTTCTCTGTCTGTGCAATACACACTTGTGTTTGGGCTTACACTGCTTTACCGCTGCCCCTGGAGACAAATGATCAGGGAAGGACCTGTCCACTGCTGGACAAAGGGTGCCAGGAAGGGTATCAGAGACTCTGCTGTGGCACTGCCATTGCCTAAGCAGGCTCCAGAGCCCTCTTCCCTGTCTGAGCCCCGGGCTCCGAGTCTATAACTTGGGGAAGCTGGCCGAGGCGGGATTTAAGCCCGCCTATTTCTAGGACGCCTTCCACGGCCCTCCCGTGTGCCCATGATGCCCAGGTGACCGCGGATCCCGGGCTGGTGTCCATTTCCCACCTCCCGGGGTCTCGGAAGCAGCAGCACTCCCAGTCACTCTGCTCTATTTGGAGAAGTAGCAATTGAGAGCTACTATTGTTAACCAAAGTTATTTTAGCCAAGAGGCACTCAATTTAGAGGAGGTAATTGGGAAGTAGGAGTGTGCAGCCTTGAGGAAATAAATGGCAGGCGGCCTCGGTGCAGAGAGAGCGGCCTCGGTGCAGAGAGAGCGGCTTCGGGAGCTGGGGGCCGGCTTCGCAGCGTGCTCACTCTGTCGGCAGCCTGAGTGAGGCCGAGCTGGACGAGCAGCTGTGACCACAGCGTGTCCCCGGCCCGTCCCCTCGCTCTCAGAATGGTGGAGGGAATCCTGTGTGTGGGGGGGTCTTCTTACCTCCTCTTTTCTGGCTTTCAGGGGGAGATCGGGCCACCCGGTCCCAGGGGAGAAGATGGCCCTGAAGGCCCGAAGGGTCGTGGAGGTCCCAATGGTGATCCTGGTCCCCTGGGGCCCCCTGGGGAGAAGGTTTGTGATGTGGGATGTTCAGCCTCTCTCCCGGGGGGATCTGTCGGGCCCTTCCCCGTGGCCTTGGACTCCCGCTGGCTGTGGCTGCCCTAGGTGTGGGGTGGAGGTGATTCCTGAGCGGGCTCCTGTCTCCACCCGGGGCTCTTGCTGCTCCTGGGAAGCTGTTTGCTGAATGAGGACCCTTTCCTAGTCCTGGGTTCGGCCCTTCCCAGCCCTCCACCACCGCCTTGAAGGGCTCCTGCCTTCCTCCCAGAGGCCACAAGCCTGCGTCTGAGCCCCAGAACTCCAGGACCCCTGCCTTGTCACATTCCCACCTCCACACCTGGGTAATAAAGGCGTCCCCACCCCGGCCTGAAGCTGTGGCAGCCCGGGAGGAAGGCAGGCCCGGCTCCCCAGAGCAGGCTCTGGCACGCGGCCATCCACAGGCCTGTAGTTTCCCGCTGTGGGAGGCTCCCAGGCCAGCCGCACACCCTGGCTCCACCCTGCCGCCACCCTGGGCCCTGCAGGGATGGTGCAGGCGGTGGCCCAGACTTTCTGCTGCATCCTGCTGCTTGGCTGGGACTCACACAGAAGGGCTCAGAGATGCCCCTGGATAAAGAGCGTGGTGACCTGTGGCGCTGGCCTCTAACCGCGTTTGCTCCCCAGTGGCGCAACCTCTCCTCCGTGCCTTCGCATCTCCCTCGGTGGGGGAACCATCGGCTGCCCACTGGACTCCATGGGTGCTGGCAGTCCTCCCCACCCAGGCGGGCAGGGCCTCTGTGTGATGACGTGTGCCCCAGCTTCTGGATACCACACCCTCCTCCAGGCCCCTGACAGGACTCATGGCCTTTCTCTCTGCTCCAGGAAAATGGATGGAGCAATACTGTACTTGCCACTAATGTCACCCTTTCTCCCCCAGGGAAAACTCGGCGTCCCAGGGTTACCCGGGTACCCAGGGAGACAAGGACCGAAGGTAATTCCGGCCGTGAGGTGTCCCGGCACAGGGGGAGGGACGTCTTGCTGGGCCTCCCCCTCCTGTACAGGTCCATCCATTCCCGGTCCCCGCCTTGGGGGCGTGTGTGACACTGTCACTCCCAGACTCCACGGTGTTCACTGCCTTCTGCATTAATTTGCCGAGTTGAAAGGAGGCTCTTGGATGATGGGATGAGTCCTCTGCCCCAGGTGGCACGGACACCTGAGGTCCCTCCGGGGTCCTCCTGGAGTCCCCCGGGGTCTTCGGCACCTGTTGCTTGGCTCGTGGCCCTTGTGCCCGGCTTGTCCATACCCAGAGCCCGAGCGACAGGCATTGCTCAGCGCCACCTCACTGGCGATTTGAAGGCTCTTTGCTCATAATGGAGTATAAAGGAGGAAACCTTTCTTATGTGAGATCATGTTCAGGTTTAAGTGAAACAGCTCCTTCAGGCTTTGGAAGTCATTGAAAATGTTATTTTTTTTCAAATCTCACATTTTATTATTCATGGTTCTCCCTTAAAGAATAGCCAGCTGGCTGCACGGAGACATAATTAACAGGCGAAGCGGGCTGTCTTTCTCAGATCTGCCTCTGCCTGAGGCGCCTCCTTTAGCCTCAGCACCTCTCCGGTCTCACGTGCACTCTTGTTAACCGGAGGACGGGCATGGTGGGCTGGGGCTCCAACAGGTATTTCCGTTCTCATCAGGGGAATGCTCTATCCATCCTTCCCGTGGAGCAGGAAGGCCCCTGCTCCGTGTGTGTAGACGCACACCCCATATGCAGGAGAGGTAGCTTGCCGTGAAACAGGAGTTTCATTTAGGATCTAACTGGCTCATCGAACGTGGGTGTGACGTAGCTGCTGACGGCAGCGTCTTAGCCCAACGTGGCAGAGGGGCTGATGGGCACTTTCCTCTCCTTTAATACACATTCCTCTGGGGATGGAGAGAAGGGGAGACGTTTGGGAGAGATGGGTGTTCAAAATCAAGTTCAGGCAACTTTTTGAGAGGGGATGGCACGTGTGTCCAGATCAGAGAGAAGTGGCCAACCGCACAGTGACCTGGCTTCTGAACTGAACTCTGCCACCTGCACTGAGGTTTCCTGGGTCCCACCCCCTGCCTAGATTGGCAGGTGGGTGTGTGAGTGGCTTGGCTGAGCCCAGTCCCCTGTGAGAAATACAAGGTTTGGACATGTGTGAACTCTTCATGGATGCAGGTGTGCCTTCAGGACAGGATTTTAAACCAGGCAGATAGAGACCTGCCAAAGACGGTGGCCAGCACCCACACGGCCAGTGGCTGAGCAGCCTCATGGCGGCGCTGCTCCTGCACAGAGTGGGCGTTTGGATATTCACCAGGTCACTGTCCCTAAATCCATCTCTGGTCTGTGAGCACCTTGCAGACTCCTAGAATTAAAGAGCTGGTAGATGCTACAGGCAGTGCATAAATTTGCATTCATTCCCACCTCTGCAACTGCTGTGCTTTATTTAGAGGGACTGTGGAACACCAAGAAACATGCACAAGGCACAGAAAACACAATGTCACAGCGCGAAGTTCATGTCTCACCTCGGTTCAGCTCAGCAGGGTGCCTCCCTTTCTCCCAAACACCAGCCACCATCCTGTGGCCAGGGGCGCGGGGGAGGGAGCATGGCGAAAACTCTAATTCAGCTCTGCAGCTGAAGCCTGTGAAGTGCTTAGGAAGTATTTATGGAGTAGAGAGGATGGATGGAGGGATAGGTGGGTGGGGGAGTAGAGGGGTGTGGGTAGGTAGATGTGTGAATGGGTAGGTAGATGGATAGACGCGTGGGTGGGTGGGGCAGAGAGGTGAATGAATGGGTGGGAGGGTAGGCAGGTAGACAGGTGGATGGGTGGGGGGCGGGTGTGTAGGTAGACAGGCAAATGGATGGATAGTTAGCGGGTGGGTGGGTAGGTAGGTAGGCAGGTAGGTGGATAGATAGGTGGGCCCGTGGATGGATAGGAGGGTGAGTGGATGGGTGGGCGGGTGGGTAGACAGTTGGGTGAATGGAGGGGTGGGTGGATAGGTAGACAGGTAGATGGATAGACAGATAGGTGGGCCAGTGGGTAGACAGGTGGATGGGTGGGCGGGTGGGTGGACAGGTACATGGATGAACGGGTGGATAGGTGGGCAGGTAGGTAGGTGGGTAGATGGGTGGACAGATGGGTAGACGGATGGGTAGGTGGGTGGGTGGGTGGACAGGTACATGGATGAAAGGGTGGATAGGTGGGTGGCGGGTACATCATGAGTGGGTGGGTAGGTAGGCAGGTAGGCAGATGGCTAGGTGGGTGGGCAGATGGGTAGACAGGGGGATGGATGGGTGGGTGGGTAGGTAGGTAGATGGGTGGGGGGGGGGGTAGGGGGACAGGCAACTGGATGAGTGGGTGGATACTTGGGCACGTAAGTAGACAGGTAGGTGGCTGGGTGAGCAGGTGGAGCCTGGGGCAGAGGCTGTGCCCTGGCATGCAGGCTGTCCCCCAGGCCGCCCGCGCAGCATGACTGCCTCCTGTCCCAGCCCTTACCTCTCCTTTTCAACTCTCTTTCAGGGCTCTATTGGATTCTCTGGATTTCCTGGCGCCAATGGAGAGAAGGGCGGCAGGGTAAGGACAGACTGGCCCCTGGGCAGGCAGCTTCTGCGGCTGCCTCCGTGTGTAGTGGGTTCGTTTTCTAGTCGGTGGCCTGTTTATTTCTCATCCCTTTTGCTGCTGAAACTGCTTTCCTGAACAGCTGGCCTTAAGCTCTCGACCTTTAGCGCCAAGCACTGGTGACACTCTGCAGACTGTGGGCTGGGCAGGTTTGTGACAGGAAGGGGCAGAGGCAGGAGGGAAGTGTGTTGAGAAAATGGAGCTTTCTAATGAGCTCCACAGTCCAGAGGCTCTGGCAGGTCATTCGCGAAAATCATATTGTTCTCTTCTACCCAAGTGGACTCTTCCTCCAAGCTAATTTTTTAAGAGAAGGAAAAAGGAGATTGCTTTTTCCTTTTAAAAATGTCCCGCTACCTACCTACCATAGTCCAAATTTAAAGTCATTTAAATTAACATTAAATTGAATGGGGTTAGCAAGCTGCCGCTGCCGTCGACACCCACCAGGCTGCAGCGTGGCTCCCGTCCTCTTTGTTCTCACCCTCCACACGCGTGGGCTGGGGGAGCTGTGTTCTCTCCATGCCTTCTGGAGCCCCGGCTGGCCCAGGTGTCCCTGCAGGAGCTGCCCTGGATGCTTGTTAGTGACATCACAGCACCTTCGTGTTGCCATTCGGGACAATAGCAGTGAGGTGGTCCTCAGGCCTTGGACTCTGAGCTAGCCTTGTGCATGGGTGTATCGGGGGGACAGAGAGGCCAGTCTGTGGTGCACATGCAGGACAGTGTCTGCGGAGCAGGTCCGGGGGACCCGCTTCTGGAAAGATGGCGGAGCTCACACCTTCCTCATAGCCTCAGCCGCAACCCTGCAGCCCTGCCAGCTCATCCTCCTGTGCCCTGTCCTGCTCTCCCAGGCCAGACGGAGCTGCAGGGTCTCAGCCCCCTCTTGAGCCCATCCCTTCTGGCCAACACGGTATGAGCAAGATTCACCAAACAGGAAAAGGAAGACTGTTCTAAGTTGACAACACAGACCAGAGGAGATGATTATCTCCATGTCTGTCCCCTTCTCTCTCTGTTCTTCTCTCCACCCATCCATCCATCCATCCATACATACATACACTCACCCATCCACCCACCCATCCATCAACCATCCTCCACCCACTCATCCATCCATCATCCACCCACCCACCCATCCATTCACCCATCCATCCATTCCCCCACCCATCCATCCATCCCCATCATCCATCCCCCCACCTACTCATCCATCCATCATCCATTCCCCCACCTATCCATCCATCCATCATCCATCCCCTCCACCCACTCATCCATCCATCATCCATTCCCCCACCCACTCATCCATCCATCATCCATCCCCCCACCCACTCATCCATCCATCATCTATCCCCCCACCCACTCATCCGTCATTCATTCCCCCACCCATCCATCCATCCATCCTCCCTCCCCCCACCCACTCATCCATCCATCCACCCACCCATCCATCCACCCACCCACCCATCCATCTATCCATCCATCCATCCATCCATCCATCCATCTTCTATTATCTGTCCATCTCTGTCTATATCCACCCTACCCATCCACCTCTCCATCTGTCTCTATCTAGCTGTCATTCTTCCTCTGGAGAAGCCCTGGCTAGCGCCTTAGGGACACGCTGTCTTCTGAAATACTCTTAGATACTACTCTGAGAAGCATGGGGAATATGGGGTACCCCAGTGGGCCGCTGCAGTGCTGGGGGACCTTTCACACTGCACTGCAGTGAGAGTGTCCAGGAGAGGATGTGACCTTCCGCAGCTGGTCATGGGATGTGACCACAAGTCCTTTCCATGGAGGTCTGTGTGGGACCAGGGACCTTGTGGAGCGCCAGGAACCCTTGGTCACTCCCAGGCTCCTGACTGGGGCTCTGCTCCTCATGTGCCTCGGCCTCCCCATCCCTGAGCCGAGGAGCTTGAACGGATGCTCCAGATGCCCCTTGGTCCCCATCAGCCACTGTCCAGGGCATCAGCACTGTGGGTCTCCAGTCACAACGCAAAGCCTGGCTCAAGCCAAGACCTGCCAAACACCATGTGCCCCAGTCACACATGGGAGCCACTCACAGCCTTTCGGCAGCCTCTGGTGTCTGGCCCTGCGTGGGGACATTTCATTCACTGCTGCACCTGGTTCCTGGTACAACCCACAACACAGACCTCAGGCTGAAAGGCGAGGCTGTTTGCTTCCCCTTGAGCCGTGATGGTTCGTGCGTGTGAAATGGAGCCCTGCCCTCCTTCATCTCCGCTATCATGGCCCTTTGAAGCTTCCCGTTGAGGACGCTGAGTGCAGCCTTTGCCTGCGTGAGCCTTCAGTGGCATCATCACTGCAGAATGGCGCCTGCAGCACTGCCTGGTTTTCTGCATAGGGCTGCTGCTTTGTGCCACGTTCACTGAATGACGGAGGGTGTGGGTAGCGTCTGGTCTACCAGGTTGGGCTTCCCAGTTGTCCACAGGAAGCTGGGGTCCAGGCTGTCCTTGCAAAGGGACCCATCCTCTTTTGTTGTCTGCAGGAGCCTCACTCAGGTTACCCAGAAGCCCCTGGGCGCTGGCTTGTCTTCTGCGCCTCAGTGAATGGATCCTGCTTTCCGGGTTTTGCCCTCGGCTACCTGTCTTTTGCCTTGGGCTTTGTGCTTGGTAGTCTTGGGGGCAGTCCATGCACTTAAACAGCACATGCGTCGTAAGTCCTTGCTAAGTGCTGGGTGCTCTGCTAGGCTCTGGGGACTCAGGTGGTCAAACCAGGCATCCCTCTGGCCTCCAGAGAGGGACACCACCCAGTGAGCTGCACTCGGGAGTGGTGGCTGTGATGATGAAGGACAAGACGAGGGTGAGTCAGGAACAGGTCGTGGGCACCAGAGTCTGACCCAGACGGTCCAGGGAGGCCTGCTGGAGCAGTGACATTTTTGCTGAGGCCTGCAGGAGGTACAGAAGTGGATCGTGCGGTGTGGAGCAGGCAGAGCTATGGGATCAGGAGGTACAGAGCCAGAAGGCTGGCACAGGGCCAAGCCCCACAAGGGAGACATGGGAGTGAGCTGTGGGCTGCAGAGCTTGGCCAGGCAGCTGGCTGCTTTGGGAGAAGCTCTTTAGCCCAAGGCACTGGGACCCACTGAAGGTTCTAGCCAGGGGGAATGGCTCTAGAGGTTGTTGGAAGCAGCTCTGGGCGCAGTGTGGGGCAGGAATCGTTAGGGGCCATTCCAGGGGTGTGAAGGGAAAAGCCAGCAGGAGGTGTGTGCTCATCCAGAGAGGTCTTTGATTTTTTAAATTTTATTTATTTTTTTGAGACAGAGTCTCTCTTGCTTTATCACCCAGGCTGGAGTGCAGTGGTATGATCTGGGCTCACTGCAACCTCCACCTCCCAGGTTCAAGTGATACTCCTGCCTCAGCCTCCTAAGTAGCTGAGATTACGGGTGTACACCACCATGCCTGGCTAATTTTGTATTTTTAGTAGAGAAGGGGTTTCGCCATGGCCAGTTTTGAACTGCTGATCTCAAGTGATCTGCCTGCCTCAGCTTCCCGAAGTGCTGGGATTAAAAGCATGAGGCACTGTGCCCGACCCAGAGAGGTCTTTTAAAATATCTTGGATATTCTGGCCAGATGGATGCTTCTAGGTGCTAGGATGCCAGGCCTGAGTGCATGCATGCATGTGTGTGCGTGTGTGCATGTGTGTGCACATATATGTGTACGTGCATATGTGTATGCATGTGTGTACGTGCATTATGTGCATGCATCCGTGTTCATGTGTGTGCTCATGTGTGCTTGCTTGTGTGCATGTGTGTGCATGTCTGTGTGTTCATGCATGTGTGTACATGTATGCATACATGTGTGTGCATGTGTGCGTGCATGTGTTCATGTGTGTGCATGTGCATTGTGCATATGTGAATGTATTCATGTGTGTGCATGTGTGCGTGTGTTCGTGTGTGCGTGCTTGTGTGTGTTCATGCATGTGTTCGTATGTGTGCATGTGTGGTAATTGTGTTCATGGGTGTTCATGCATGTGTGCATGTGTGCATGTGTGTTTATGTGTGCACATGTGTATTCGCGTGTGTGTTCATGTGCATGGGTACATACATGTGTGAGTTCGCGTGTTCACGTGTTCATGTGTGTGCATGTGCGCATGCTTGTGTTCATGTGTGCGTGTGTGCACACATGTGTGTTTGTGTATGCACCTGTATGTTCACCTGTTCGTGTGTGTGCATTTGTGCGTGCATATGTTCATGTGTGTGTGCTTGTGTACGTTCATGCATGTGTGTTCGTATGTGTGCATGTGTGTGTTCGTGTGTGTGCATGTGTGGGAATTATGTTCATGTGTGTGCATGTATGTGCATGTGTCCATGTGGTTTATGTGCACACATGTATTCACGTGTGTGTTCATGTGCATGGGCGCATACATGTGTGAGTTCATGCGTGCACATGTGTCATGTATGTGCATGTACACACGCTTGTGTTCATGTGTGTGTTTGTGTGCATGCATGTGTTTGTGTACGCGTATGTTCGTGTGTGTTTGTGTGTGTGCATATGATTGTGTGTGCGTGCGTGTCTGCATGTTCGTGTGTGCAAACTTATGTTCATGTGTGTTCGTGTGTGTGTATGCATGTGTGTGTGTGTCTGACTTCCATCTAAGGGCTGCCTGCCCTCTGTCTGCCTGGTCCTACCTCCCATGGAGCTAGTGTTGGTTCTGTGGACCTTGACTATGGGCCAGACATGGAAATGCCAAGGACGTAAGCGCTATGTCGACCCAGCTGAAGCCAAAGGAAGAGGAATGGACCTGGGCAAAGTGCTGGTTTGCTCCTCGGGCCAAGGAGAGACCCAGGAGCCCCTTCCCGGGAGGAGGGAAGACCAGCCCTTCAGATGCACTGCCCGCCGGCGGTACCCACGCCTTCAAGCTGTGTTTGGCTTCGCGGCACAGCCATTGCTGGGAGTGTCCCTGCCTTCCGAAGGGCAAGAAGACAGGGTCCCCCATTCAGTTTGCTGGGGAGAAGGTCAGGGAGACTTGGGGGGATATGGGGACATTCTGTTCCACAGCTCCAGTCACAGGGACTCAAAATTCTTTGGTTTGAGTTAGTTTATAAAGAAAACAGATGAGCAAGATGCCTCCTGGGAGCCCCAGATGGCGTTTGTGGCCAAGTCGATATTTTGCTCCTGCCTCGGGCACAGTGAGCTTGGGCTGCGGTCCTTTGTGCTGCAGGATTAAACCTGTGGCCTGGGTCACAGTGGGACTATTTTTGGGTGGAGGGTTTTCATTCTAGGGGAGCATTGGAATGAGAAAACCTGGCAGCCTGGGCCGTCCACATCTAAATGCTGGGAGTGACCAGGTTGGCCGTGGGTGTACTCGCCTGTAAAATGCCTATCACTGGAAGAAAGCAGATGTTTCATTAATTTTCATGTGCAAATATTTAGTCGAAGCCAAAGGATATCACCATAGTAATTGAAGAGCTGGAATCGGAGCGCATTGTTAAAAAGCTACATAATTAACTCATCATCATAAATGGTTTTATTAAATGCATTTCAAAATGGGAGACTCTAGAAGCAGTTTTGATTCTGGCAGCAAATGAATGAAAGATGATGAGAGGAAGCTTCTCAGGTGGCCTCCAACCACACAGGCCTACCGTGGGCCTAGAGGTAACCGGAGCATGAGAAACCAGAGTGAAGTTCAGGAAGCCGAGTTGGGATGTGGCAGGGCTGTAGGGACCCTGCACGGTCAGCCCGTGGCTTCCATGCGCCGTAGGCTGACTGCATCTTCCAGCTCTGATCTCTTAGCACTGCATTTGTTTTCTGTGGTTTGGAAAATGCAAAACAACAATAGAAAAAAGAGTATAAATTCTATTAGAGGAGAAGCTGATGACTCGTGGACATATGATTTAGATATTAAATTGCAAGTTTGCCCGTCTGTAGAACCTGTTGAAACTTCCAGAGCTAATATTCTTACTGTAGCAAAAGTAAATTATGTATGAAAGGGGTTGACTTTCTTCTCTTTTCTTGCACTAATGATTTCCTTTCCTGCTGAGAGAGAGAGAGAGAGAGAGAGAGAGGGATGAGGAGGAGGGGAAGGAGGGAGGAAGGAGGAGGGAGGTGGCAGTGTGCTTTCAGGACAGAAAGCAGATAATAGTATACACATCCATCAGACTGCAGGAGGAAAATTGGATTTCAGCAGGATTGTGCAGGAGCACAAAGCTCTGTGTCGGTGTGCGGTGAGCTTCTCACCCTGATAAATCTCCTATTAAAACACGGATAAGGTGGGTGGCGGGGAGCCCACGTTCCTCCTAGCCTGCTCTGAATTCATAGTCTCTCAACAACCCGGGGGACGGCCGCCACCTATGCAGGGCCGGGCATTTAGAGAGTGACTGACCAGCCCCTTCTCTGATTCTAGGGGACCCCTGGAAAGCCGGGACCGCGGGGGCAGCGAGGCCCAACGGTAACTGTCCTTTTAAAAGGCTTGTGGGCATGTCTGGGAAATGGGAACGTGGTTTAGGGAGTGTGTGTGGGGGGCTGGGGAAGGCGGTGTCTGTGAGCTGTCACTGGAGCTGACCTTCCTTCTCTCCCATCTGTCCAGGGTCCGAGGGGTGAAAGAGGCCCCCGGGGCATCACTGGGAAGCCTGGCCCCAAGGTATGTCTTTGGCCTCCTGGGTGGTGGGCAGCATGAGCCCAAGCTGCAAGGCCACGGAGACATGGAGCACCTGAGGGTGTCTGTGACTTTTATTTTTTTTAAAGCAGGATGTTTTCTTAGGTGTATTTAAGAAGGAGCTTGTCCCCTCCAGCAGCCTCTGGACACCTTAGATCAGATTTAATTAAGTGGCTGACAGCTATGCTTATGGGATGAGGCCGCAGCAGAGCAGAGGCAGGGCTCTACCCAACACATCTGGGACCCCAGAGACGCAGCAGGGGCCGGGCCCACCGCAGACCCACCTGCCCTGGTCGGGAGGCCTTATTTCCTTTCTTGAAAGGGGTTTCAGAGCTTAGAGGCCTCTGCCAGAACTTATTGAAAGTGCTTTCTGGCAGGGGAAAGCCCAGGCCGGCCTCGTGCACATTCTTCCCACTGAGGGGCATTGAAGCCACTCCTCAGGTGGAGAATCTGGACACAGACCCCACAGGTGGGCTGTTCCTTCTTGTCCAGGAAGCCACTCCAGAGCGAGTTCCCACTGGGATGAGTCTTCCAGTGGCCGAGGGGCACAGCCGGCCCATCCCTCCGCTGACCAGAATGCCCTGGCCGGCCACCCTAAACTGTGGGACAAGCTCTCAGGCGCATCTCAGGTGCCCCGGGAGCTGACACGAGGCTCACCTGTGAGGTCTTGGAGCAGGTGAGGGTGGGGGTGGCCCGAGAGTGTGTTACTGCTTCTGCCTCTCCGAGGTGCTCGAGGCTGCACACAGCCTTCGTCCCACCCAGAAGACCTTTCCGGAAACGTTCAGCCCTGTAGACGCTGGCTCACTGTCAGCTGCACGCAGCGGCAGGGAACAGGCTGGCTTTGGGAGCCACAAATCGGCACCCACGCCTTCTGCCCCTTATTGAGTGTCAGGCCCACTTGAGGGGTGCACACAGGCGGTGTTTGACTCGCATATTTCGACGATGTCGAGGGTCAGAGTCTTCTCACCTGAATAGTAACAATCATAAGCTTTTCCTTCTCTCTCCCTCCCTCTCAAGGGCAACTCTGGAGGCGACGGCCCAGCTGGCCCTCCTGGGGAGCGGGTAAGCAGCTTGAGCCTTCGGGGATGTCTCCGAAGGCAGAGCCTGCCTCGACGTCCCCTGCACTCTGTCCTGGGGTGGGCGGGGCCTCGGAGGCACGCCTCGGACCCTGCTGAAGGGTAGGGTTTTCCTGAGATCCCAAGGGTGGAGCACGCCCAGGGAGTGAACTCTCCTGTAGGTCAGGGACCTCCACCCCTGCCCTGGTCTTGGGATTTGGGAGTGGCCGAGGTGACAGGAAATGGGTCCTGGGCCCCGTCCTGCCCCCAAGAGTCCCTCATTTCTGCTGTTGGGTGAGGGAGGAGCTGGAATAATGGAGGAAAGGCCGTTGGGTGGGAAGAAATGACACCTGCGTCTGGAGAGCCAGCGGCACCGAGACGCCAGCAGCGGGAGCTGCTCCGAAGAGACACTTGTCCTCAAGCTGGCCTTTCTCTGTTCCCAGGGACCCAATGGACCCCAAGGACCGACAGGGTTTCCCGGACCCAAGGGCCCCCCTGTAAGTAATGGCTTCAATGCTGGGCCAGCCCTGCCTGTCCCCCCGACAGACCGCCTGCTTTTTTCTAAGGGCTGCTTGGAGCTCCTCAGGGTGGCCGGCGGGTGGAGGGAGGCCCGTGGTAAAACTCCGGCCATTCCGATGAGGGGGCAGACCCCCTGCCAAGGCTGCCTCGGGGCAGTCTGTGACTGTGTCCCGGTGCCCACCCGGTGGCGCTGGAGAGAGCTGCGTGCTGGGGCCCTCTCTCCTTTAGACCCACATGGTTTTCTCGCTGAGTTCTGTGTCAGTGTCCTGGGGCCACCATCATAAATTACCAGGATCTGGGTGTGGCTGGGAACTGCATGAGGCTCTTCTCCCACAGCCCTGGAGGCCGGAAGCCAGGGAGCCAAGTGGGATCAGTCAGGCACTCTGCTGGGCACACGGGCTTTTCAGTCATGGCGCCCCTTTGACCTTGCCCTTGACTTTAGACTTTAGAAATGCACGGTACAGGCTCCTTTGTCTAGACGGTGAAGGACTCCAGCGTTTTCAGTGGGGTGAAAAAGCTCTTGTGAGAAATGGGATCCTTTACCTGGCCCCATCAGCTGACACAGGCAAAGACCTCATTTCCAAGTGAGGTTACAGGTATAGGTTCTGGGGGCCAGAGCTTCCACATGTCCTTTTGGGGGACACAGTTTGCCTTACGGCAGGTGCAATGCGTCTCCTCCAGTCTCGACAACCATCTAGCCGTGGGATTCTGACCCAGCAGGCATGGTGGGGCTAGGGGGAGGGGCCGACTGTGCCACTCCACAGACTCAGGTCCTAGTGCTGCCTGTGCCACCTGCTGGCTGGACCTCGGGACACCGACTGGCCTCTTCTGCCTCAGTTTCTCCCTTGGGCGATGCTGGCAACAACAGCACGTCCCTTGGGGCAGTTGTGAGGACTTTGTGGGATGACGGCCAGGCGCCTTTAACAAGGACGGCCTGAGTTTTGGCATCACTGTCCCCATGCCTGCCGGGTGATTGCTCTTCAGAGGAAGTGCAGAGGCAGGTTGTGGAAATGAATCGGGGTCGCCCCATGTGATGTCAGATCCCCAAGGTGGGTGCTTCTCAGACATGAACGAACCTTCTTTCCCCTGATTCTTTCTTCAGGGCCCTCCGGGCAAGGATGGACTCCCAGGACACCCTGGACAGAGAGGCGAGACTGTGAGTATCATGGGTGCGGGGCCGTGGCTGGCTGGCTCTCTGACCACCCTGCATGTGGGCACAGCCCTGGCTGCCCGGCGCCATCTAGGACCCTCCCAGCCTGGGAGAGACAAGTTGGCCTCAGAAAGGCCCCCAAGGGCCAGGCCACCTTCTGCTGACTTGGGGCCAGGCTGCGAGGCAGGGCTGGGACAGGGCAGTCATACAGGCTGACAGCGCCCTGTGGCCTCTATGGGCAGAAGGCAGGGGCCGGCTTTGGGCTGGTTTGGGAAACTTTGGTTGAGAGGCCACATTTAAAGATATACACAGGTTATCCCGGGCAGACCGAAGCCTCATGCATCCAACCTGATTTTCCCTCTAGAATAGTGGCGAGTGCCACCCAGCTTGAGGGACACGTCTTTTAACTGGGCATGTGCCAGGAAAGGGCCTACATGTCACTCTGTGTCATTCGGTTATTTGATGCTGCAGAACTTCAAGAGGGTGACTGTGGGCCATGCACCCACGCCACCGTGCTTACCCAGACCCTTCCAGTCCAATCCAGGGGGTCTGGAGGATGCCTTTGATTGACATCTTTTATGGTAAAGAAGACAAGCGCCAGTCAGGTGGAGGCAGCCCCCCTCCTCTTGGGTGCTCCGCTAGGCACGTGGTCCCTGCAGTCCTGAGCTCCCCTTGCCCTTCCCCTTAACTTTAGAAATGCATATTACTGGTTGCTTCGGCTAGAACACAGAAGACTCCAGCATTTTCAGTAGGGAAAAAAAGCCCCTGTCAGAAATGGGATCCTTTTCCCGGCCCCATCAGCCCTTTGGAATTTAGCCCAGTTCCCTGAAGGTGCAGTTCAGGAAAGGGTGCTGGCATGCCTGTAACCTGGCCCACACCTGGCAGCCCGGGGCTCCAGGCTTTGAACATCTGGGGACATGGCAGTGTCAGGTGGCTTCCTTGTCACCGTTCTGTGCCCCTTTTCCATGTGCCCACCTGCTCTGTTCAGCTTAAAGGATGAATCTCAGAGATGCCAACATTTCCCAGCGGAGAGTGGGGGGTGCCAGCGTCACTGCAGGGCTCTCTGCAGCCGGGCCTCTAGTGGTCCAGGTATCTGTGGGACTCCCCCAGCAAAAGCAGGTCCTTTGTGGAATGTGGGATGGGCCTATGAGTGCCCTGTTTAATCTGTTCTCCACGGCTGCTTTTCAAAAGTCCTCTTTGTCTTTCTTTGGTTCATTGTGATGAAACCCCTTTTAATTATACCTCCGCTGGTGTTCTGCACGGCGCATGCTGCCCGATAAATGGAGACTGCTTTGCTCTTTTGTTTATAGAGAAAAATTAAAATATTTCTTCTGAGCTTTGCATATTTTTCTCTAATGCCTTTTCAAGGAGACAAGATAGAAGGTTTTACATTAGATGTGCTTTTCTCCCTCTGACTTACTGTGGACAGAGGCTGAGCTGCTCGTCTCTGCTCAGAAAGCTGTACTTCCGGCTGCCTTCTACCGCCCCAGCCACCTCTCTCGACACAGGGCACTGGAGGGATGCAGTGGGCGCTCCATTGCTGGGGCCCACTTGGGACGTGGCAGCTCCTCCGTGGGCTAGTCCAAGCCAGCCTTTCAGAAAGAGCTTCTCTGGACTGTTGATTTCCTTCTTTTTAAAAAAATGAAACACAAACATTATTTCTCCTAAATGTTAGCCAGGAACTTATTTCTCAGCAAAGGGCTGAGTTCATATTCTGTCCTTGATGGCCAAGGCGGCCAAGGGTCCCTGGGGAGGCCTTTTGTATTTGGTGTTAACATTGACGCCAGCACAGCTGAACCAGGCTCCCGTGTCCCCTTGGGCTCTCAGACTCTTCTCCCTGGGTCCACTGAGCAGGGCAGGCCCTTGACCCTGTCCACCACCCCTTCCTTCTGACCCTGTAAGTGCAACCTACATTAGAAATGATCATTGTGTACAACTGAGCTGGGCTTAAAGGAGAGAGCCCTCCCAGAGTTTGCACAGAAGCTGAATCTGGGCCAGGCATGGTGGTGCACGCCTGTGATCCCAGCACTTTGGGAGGCCAAGGTGTGATCACCTGAGGTCGGGAGTTTAAGACCACCCTGGCCAACATGGAGAAACCGTGTCTCTACTAAAAATACAAAAATCAGCTGGGTATGGTGACGCATTCCTGTAATCCCACCCACTGGGGAGGCTGAGGCAGGAGGATCACTTGAACCCAGGAGGCAGAGGTTCCAGTGAGCGGAGATTGTGCCATTGCACTTCAGCCTGGGCAATAAGAGCAAAACTCCATCCCAAAAAAGCAGCAGCAGCAGCTGCGTCTGCTGTGGGTTCACTTGGCTCAGGGCCCAGAGTGAGATCTTGCCAGCTGCTGGACAGTGAGGCCGCGAGCCCTCCAGCCCTAGCTTGGCCTCGGAGCCAGCCACCTCCTCCTCGGGAGCCTAGAGTTTCCCTCCAGGCCTCCAGGCAGGTGTGCCTGTCACACCAGTGTCACGTGGCACCTGCAGATGGTCTCTCGCCTGCACCTGTCCTGCTCTGCAGACATGCCCGGAAATGAGGCTTATGTTGCCTTGAGGTCATTTTTCTCCTTTGAGGAGAGTACAGAAAGCGTGGTGACACCCACGACCAAGCCAGGATCGTCACCTACGCGTGAGCATGCAGAGCGGGCGTGAGATATTCCTGCTGAATCAGGCTAAAAATAGCACATCCAAGCTGCTGCGTTATGAAAGCAGCCGGCCCTCGCTCCTGCCTGTTTTAAATACACGCCGAGGAGCACGCGGGCAGAGTCACCTGTCGTGCGTCAGAGGCGTCCACACCTAAGCAGGGCAGACGCCACAGAGCCGCTGCCGAGAAACAGCCAGCAGTAGCCCCAGTCCAGAAAGGGGAGCAAGCGGACTCAGAAGAGGAAGACTTGGTGACATGATAGGGATGAACTGCGTCGGCCTGAAGATGGGGGCGGGGTGAGAACAGCCAGTGACATGAGCATGTGTGGCTTCGTTACCCTCCTGGAACTGGTGCAAAAATGAAACAGGAGACGTGGGCCTCTCACACGAAAGTCTGGAACATCCACTGTAGGGGGCAGGGCAGTGAGGGGCAAGCGTCCTGCTGAGAACAGCGTGGGGCGGGTTGGTGCTGGGCGGCATGGCGTGGGGCAGGATGGTGCTGGGCGGGATGGCGCGGGCCATGCAGCACCCTCAGCGTGGTGACTCTCTCTCAACAGGGTTTCCAAGGCAAGACTGGCCCTCCAGGCCCCCCAGGCGTGGTCGGCCCTCAGGTACGCTCCAGGATCCCCGGATCCCATGGGTCACCCAGTGTCACTTGCCCTCAGAGAAGAGGGTCCATGATTTCAGAGGCGCAGGTGCTGCTGAGAGAGTGTCTTGGGTCCTGAATGTTGTTCAGCTTGAGGCTCGCCCCACACGGGAGCAAGCAAAGATGTGTTTGCCCTCGACACGGATGCAGCACGCAGGGCAAGGAAGGCCGCCCAAGGCTCACCGGGTGGCTTGGGCCAGACCTGGGCCAGCTCAGGAGCTGGGCTCATCCCTGCTGTGAGTGTCCAAGGCAGCCAAGTCCTCCTGCCACTGGGTCCTATTGGTGCCACAAGCCTGTGCTTCTAAGCTGCAAAACAGGGAGGGGTCCCCTTGTGTCCTAGAAAGCTCACACCTCACATAGCAGTGAGTAAGGCGGGGACACGTGCAGCCACAGAACTGGAGGTCATGTGGGCTCTGCCCCTGGTGTGGATTTTCTCCCATCCTCGGCCTGTCCTGTGGCTGAATCGGCCTCCACAGGGCATGTCTCAGGAAGGCAGATTGGCTGTGCCTCCTGAAGGCACCACTGGGGGAAGAGGACCATGTGGGGCCCTGCAGGGACCAGGCAGCGAGCGACTTAGCAACGCCCACCTTCTGGATTTTTGCCAGGAAGAGCAGGCTTGCAAAGGCACGTGGAGGTTTGGGGGGAACCTGCAGCAGGCCTTCGCCTCCGTGGCCAGGGCTGCCCCTGGATTTAGGAAGAGACGGTTGCTGCCTGGTGGGTTACTTGAAACGTTTGTGGCTGACACTGACTTTCCCCCTAGGGTCCCACGGGAGAAACGGGCCCAATGGGTGAGCGTGGCCACCCTGGGCCCCCTGGACCCCCTGGTGAACAGGGGCTACCGGGCCTTGCTGGAAAAGAAGGGACGAAGGTGAGTTTCTGGAACCTTCTGTGTCAAGCCAGGCATTTCTTAAGCAGTCATTTTGGGACCTGGTGTTTTTCTTGCTCTTTTCTGATGGGTGGGTAATTCCTCACACAGACGCTCCTCAGTTCATTCCCCAGACCCAGAGTGCACCATTAGCTCACTTTTGCTGGATTCATACCTGGAATCGTGCTGCCCTGCTCAGGCATGGGCTTATAGGGGGAGTGCGGGGCTCACCCCCATCCTGCACCCTTTGCCCTCCCCGCAGCTGCCAGCCCTGCTCCCAGAAAAAAGCTCTGAGACTTCGTGTGTCCATAGGACACTTAGCAGAATGTGGTCCTTTCAAAACCCCTCACCGCAAGAGGCTGAGAAATTATAAACGCGAAAAGCAAACGTGTTTCTTTTTTTTTTTTTTTGAGATGGAGTTTCGCTCTTGTTACCCAGGCTGGAGTGCAATGGCGCAATCTCGGCTCACCGCAACCTCCGCCTCCCGGGTTCAGGCAATTCTCCTGCCTCAGCCTCCTGAGTAGCTGGGATTACAGGCACACGCCACCATGCCCAGCTAATTTTTTGTAGTTTTAGTAGAGACGGGGTTTCACCATGTTGACCAGGATGGTCTCGATCTCTTGACCTCGTGATCCACCCACCTCGGCCTCCCAAATTGCTGGGATTACAGGCGTGAGCCACCACGCGCGGCCAAGCAAACGTGTTTCTATCCCACCTCGTGGTGCCAGCTCCAAGTGCCCCCTTTTCATGTCTTGGCTCCTGGGGGCCCAGGTTGAATGGCTACAACTTGCTGTGTCAGCACAAAAATAGATAGTCCTTCCCTTTCAGTGCTTCAGTGAGGGACGCAGCAAGGACAGGCTCTCCAGCCCGCGGCCACAGGAGAGCAAGCCTGAAAAATAACGAAGTGAAGCAGATGAAGAAACACTGAAAATAATCCCACACGCGTGTGTGCATAGATATAGGAACAAATACACGTGAACACGCCCGCCTGTGTGTGTCTAGACACAGAGAGAGCTCTCTGAGCTCGGACAGGCGGCCGCGGGCATTTGACCTGTTCGTTTGAAAACACCACTGTGCTCCATATTGGACCCCAGAGAACGTTCTGGAAGATATCAAAGCTTTACTGTACCTCAGGGAAAGTATGGGCTAAGCGGTGACTTTTTTCAGAAAATGTGGTTTTAGGCTTGAAGCAAGTCCCTTAAGTAGTAAGTCCATTTAGGAGGATGCTTTCAACACTGTTATGACCTTGGATTTCTTTGTCTGGGCATGGTCTTACAAGGAGCCACAAATCTATGGGAAAGGTAGATGTGGCCTCAACTCCCACGTGGCCCATCGTGGCCCTTAGGGGCCTTGGGAGGAAGGGCCCTGGCACTCCACGGAGCAGGGGTAGAGTCAGGTCTGTGCTCAGAGCCCGCCACATGAGCATGGCCTCCTGGCGGGGGTGGGGGGCGGGGATCGGGCCGTGATCCCACACGTGGGCTGCCAAGTCCAGTCAAGACCCTGAACTCCCTTTTACAGCTAAGTGGCCAGGAGAAGCCCAGTCCAGCCCACGTCCAGGGGTGCCTGATGAGAAGGCCCCAGTCCTTGGCCTCGCTCCAGGGCTGGTGAGACGTTTGTGTTGCTGGCTCCAGAAAAGCTCATCTCTGACTCTGTTTTCAGGGTGACCCGGGCCCCGCAGGCCTCCCTGGGAAAGACGGCCCTCCAGGATTACGTGGTTTCCCTGGGGACCGAGGGCTTCCTGGTCCAGTGGTGAGTGAGAGGCTAGGCGGGGAGTGAAATGGGACAGTGTGCAGCCCTGGGGGACTCTCTCCACGTGCCCTCGACTGACCTTTTCACGGCTTTGCAGGGAGCTCTGGGACTGAAAGGCAACGAAGGGCCGCCCGGCCCACCAGGCCCTGCGGTGAGTCAAAGGCTTTGTCCCATCCTCTTTCTTGACACCTACCCTCCAGGTAGAAGGGGCAGTCCCCGAGGGCCCAGGCCGTGAAGCTGCCCCAGACCCCCGAGGGTGGGAAGTGGAGGGGGGAAGATGGCCTTTGGGGAGATGCAGATGGCACATCCCAAGCCAGCAGCCGGGATGACGAAGGGTCCCAAGGGGGACACCGAGGAGAGGAGAGCACTGGGCAGCCTGGAGGGCAGGAGGAAGGACCCAGTGTGGCCGGTGGAGCACGCTCTCTGGAGGAGCAAGGAGAAAGCCACACGCCTAGCATGGGTCTGGGCTGGGCCAGCAGAGGAAGAAATAGACACAGGTCTCCATGGACTCTGAAGATGCTTGGTAGAGCCAGGCTGCCCAGAGTGGGGGGCCCACTGGGCAGGATGGCCCTTGATGAGGCCAGCGCCCACCCATCCATATGACGGCCTCCAGGCCAGGCTACCCCTGGAGACTACATACCATGGAGAAGCATAGCAGAGAGGGGAGGGGAGGGGAGGGGAGGGGTGGGGGTGCCCCATGGGCCCTGGAGGGCAGGGGGTGCCCCATGGGCATGTGGGTGCTTAAAGGGAGGGGGTGCCCCAGGGGCATGGGGGCCCTGGAGGGCCGTTCTGTGTCTGGCCTCATCCCTCCCCCTGGAGGGGAGCGGTTGCCCCATGAGCATGTGGGCCCTCGAGTGGAGGGGGTGCCCCATGGGCATGGGAGCCCTCAAGGGGAGGGGATGCCCTGGAGGGGGGAAGTGCCCCTCGGGGCATGTGAATCCTGGAGGGGAGGGGTGTTTCATGGGTATGGGGGCCCTGGAGGGGAGAGGGTGCCCCATGGGCATGCGGGCCCTTGAGGGGAGGTGGTGCCAGGCTCCTAGAAAGGGGAGCTCATTGAAGGCAAGCACACCACAGGGCATATTGTCAGACACTGGGGGAGGGGCACCTGGGAGCTTGGAGTGACAGGAGAACACAGAGCCCCAAACGCTAGACCAGTTAGTTTGTGCTTGCAAAGGGCCATAGGGAGCCACTGTGGGCCCTGGAGTGAGCAGGTGAGTGGAATGATTAGCTGGTGCTTTACTAAGTTGTGTCCATGCAGTCTGAGAGCCTTTGAAGCAAACTCTTTTCCTGCCCCACCTCAGGGATCTCCAGGGGAGAGAGGCCCAGCTGGCGCTGCTGGGCCCATCGGAATTCCAGGGAGGCCGGGGCCCCAGGGCCCCCCAGGGCCGGCAGGAGAGAAAGGGGCTCCCGTAAGTACTGCTTTGGATTGGGGGAGCCCTTCCCTCAGAGGTGCTGGGGTCGTTCCGTGTCTGGCCTCGTCCCTCCCCCTGTGATGACCCCAGGGGTATTTCTTGGGGTTGGGGATGAGGTGAGATCTGCGGCCTTTCTCTACGGCAGAGTGTGTGTCCCCCGGTGACCTGCCTGAGAGTGTGTGTGTGTCCCACGGTGACCTGTCTGAGGTGCACGGGAGGAGTTCGAATACCAGCCACATTCTTTCTGTGATCAGCTGAGCCAGAGGGGCTCGTGGGGCGGATGCTGGGCGGGGCTCAGCCTGTCCACGCCTGCACGCTGGTGTTCCCCACATATGTGGACAGAGGGAGGGGCTGAAGGCAGTCAGTGCCCTGTGGACTTGGTCTCCGTCCAGCCTCAGTGCCATCTGTGTGGTCAGGCCACAGCTGCCCCCTGTGTGAACTGCTCCCCGCTACTGGCCCGGACCCATGGCTGGGCTCTTGATGGGGAAGGGTATTTGGAACTGGGGAGTCCCCTTTGTTGGTTGGGGGGCAGGCATGGAGAGCAGATGTCCAGCAAAGAAGGGGCGGTGGGGGAATGACAGGAAGACGAGGCACCTTCCTCTGTGTCCAGGATAGCCCACCTGCTGGCCAGCCCTGACTTTGGCAGGCTTTTCGAAGCCTCGGGAGTGGTGAGCATGTCTTGAGGCTGACCTGATCTTGGTCTCCGTGAAGGAGATGAGTGAGCCGCCTTCTTGCCTAGACGCTTCCTGCCAGCCCGCTTTCGTGAATAACCCACAAAACACCACTTACCGTTCAGAAGTGGCCCACCCGGCCCCGCATTTGACTTGTGCCACACAATTTTGCCATCTCCCCAACCCCACGTTCAGTCAGCTGTGGAGACCAATTTCATCTCAACTTCTCCTTCCCAGTACAGAGGGTCAGACTGAGCCTGAGTTCTCTGCGGGAGTTGGCAGGTGTCGGCACAGCCCGTCTCAGATTGAGTTAGGCGTGGGTGCTGATCGATTTGTTGGAAAGCTGTGATTTTCTTTTCTTTTCTTTTTCTTTTTTGTTTCTTTGAGACAGAGTCTCACTGTGTCGCCCAGGCTGGAGTGCAGTGGTGCACCCTCGGCTCACTGCAATCTCCACCTCTGGGGTTCAATTGATTCTCCTGCCTCAGCCTCCTGAGTAGCTGGGATTATAGGTGCATGCCACTACACCTGGCTAATTTTTGTATTTTTAGTAGAGACGGGGTTTCACCACGTTGGCCAGGCTGGTGTCAATCTCCTGACCTCAGGTGATCCACCTTCCTTGGCCTCCCAGAGTGCTCAGATTACAGGAGTGAGCCACCGCGCCCGGCCAGAAAGCTGTGATTTTCCTGTCTGTGTTGCTTTCAGTGGCTCATGGTAGCAGGAACAGCCTACATTCCCTGGGCAGGACCGCCCCTGGAGCCCACATGGAAACATCTGTGCCACTGAGAATCTGTCCAACGTGTTGTTGGCAATTTCGGTGACTTCTGATAGTTTCCAGTGAGGCACCCAGGACGTGGGTCCAGCTGGACTGCCAGGAAACAGAAGTCCCGGGACAGTCGGTGCACAGGACGCACACACAGCCAGTTGGGAGCGGCTTGGTTCACTGTTTTGAGAGTACACATTGAAGCAGAATCCTTGCAAGAGTCGCTCTACCCAGGGAGAAGCTCTTCATCCTCCCGGAATAGCTCCAGAGGGAAGGAAAGGCTAAGCAAAGGTCGGACGTCTCTGAGAGCTCCCGACCTGACCAGGAATGTAGGACAGGAAGCTTCCACAAAAGCCCCACACGTGGTCTTTGCCTCTTCTGGCCTAAGTAGGGTAGAAATGTCTATGAATAGGAGCTAAGTCTGAAGAGTGGGCCGTGAGTTGCGGAGGGAGGAGATGGTAAGACGGAGTGGGGAGGGGTGACTAAATCCCGGCCGCGTTTAGACCAGAACATTTGTGCACATTTGTTCTGCCGTGTGCCCCTTCCCGACGGGCACACACTCCTTCTGTGTGTCTGTCGGGAGAAGGGGATTCCTGGCTGGGATGAGAAAATGCGGGCTGTTTACAGAGTGATGTGGTGGCTGGTAAAACGCAGCAAGGCAAGCACTTAGGATCCTTTTCAGATCACCAAGCAGGCAGTTAGGATGAAACTGAGTCCAAGTTAGAAGGACAGGAGACGCAGGGTGTGCGTGTGCATGCAGATGTGCCCTGTGTGTGTACCTGTGCATGCATGCCTGTGTGCCTGTGCACGCACACACGTGTCGGTGTGCCTGTCTGTGCATATGTCCTTGTGTGTGCATGCATTTGCTTGTGTGTGCATGCATTTGCTTGTGTGTACATGTCGGTGCATACTTATGTGTGTGTACATGCATGTGAGTGTGCTTGTTTTGTGCAGGTGCATATGCATGCCTGTATGCGTGTCCATACACAGGCATATTTGTGTGTGTGTGCATGCGTGTGTATGTACATGGTGTGTGCCTGTGTGTGCTTGCATGTCTTCATCTGTGTGCATGCATGTCCTTGTGTGTGCGTGCAGGGAGAGTGTCTGCGGAGGTCATAAAGCATCAGGAAGTTGGTGAAGGTGGAGCTCAGGCCATCCTGGTCACTGGGCGTGGCTCCCTGTCACTAGCTTACATGGTCCACACGCAGACTCAGCAATGTGGCTGGCTGGCTTTGGGTGGTCCTGTCTCTACTGCTCACCAACTGTGCCTCAGTTTCCCCATCTGTAAAAGAGCAGCCTTTCCTAGGATGAGTGTGGATTAATTGCAGGGACGCCCCAGTTCACTGTATAGGGTCAGGCTCAGAGCCGGCCCTCTGTGGACCCGGCTGAAATCCATTAGGATTCTGGGGCTGGTCGCCCTCCCCAACTCCCACTTCCCGTCCACGGGTCCCTCTCTTGGGTAATGAACTGGTGGTGGGGTGTGCCAAAGTTGGAGCCACATTTGACGTGAGATCTTGTATATTCTCTAGGGCGAGAAAGGCCCACAAGGCCCAGCTGGCCGAGACGGTCTCCAGGGTCCTGTGGGGCTCCCGGGTCCAGCTGGCCCCGTGGGTCCCCCTGGGGAAGATGGAGATAAGGTAAGGAGAATCCAGACTGACACACGGCCGGGCCGGGTGGGCAGGCAGGTGCAAGGGAGGGCGGTGATTTTCCAGAATAGGGCGCTGTGGGTGTAGCGGCTCAGCTGGCAGCGATGCGCACCACCTTTGCAGTCCCGGTGGGAGGGGATGATTTCGTGGCAGCCCACAGGTAAGTGGTAATCCACGCAGTCCGTGGCATGCTTGAGGGAACTTGCAAACCACTTCCTCCTGTGTCATTTCGAGGCTGCCCACGACATTTGCTGTGAGTAGCCAGAGCAGAGAAAAATGCTCCCCAGTCCCCTAAGATCATTTCAAATTCTGAAACCGCGGAGCCCAGTTTACTGAGGTTTTGCTCAGTGTCTGTTTTTAAATGTCTCCACTTGAATTATCAAGGCTCCCGTTCATTAAGAATGTGCTTTATAATTCTGAAACGACGACTGCAGGGGCTTGTGTTTTATCCTTCGTTTAATGCGGGCAGTGAAACTCTGCTCTGCTTTAACTTCCATTTATGACACCTCTCTGGGGACACTTCCGACTTTGTCACCTCTGCGTGGTGGATGTCTTACATCTCGGGTGCGAGACTGACTTGCACCAGCAGAAACAGCAGAGAGCGTTTTAATCACTTCTTTGGCAACATAGTAATTGAGTTGTCTGTTACTATGTTGTCCTGGTAGGGGCCCAATTTGAAAAACAGAGTCAATATTTTCCACATGACTTTTCCCATATTTGCAAGTCGACTAAAAACCTGTAGAACGGCACATCAAGCCCTCATCCCTTTTAGCCCTTGTAGTAAAAAGGAAATCAAGAGATGGAAACATTTCTTCGCAGGAAAGTTATGGGGCCACCTGCAAAGGGCACTGTTCTTAGTCTCCAAGAAAAATTCCTTATGGGAGCAGGAAAGGTTCAAGTGGGTGTCAGGTTGTCTAACGGAATCCCCCCGCCCTTCCCCCAGGGAGAGATCGGGGAGCCGGGGCAGAAAGGAAGCAAGGGAGACAAAGGCGAGCAGGTAAGATTGGCTCGGGGAGCGCAGTGGTCCCCGGGTTCGGAGGGGTGTTGTCACAGGCTGGGGGCCACGGGCCGTGTGCGTTCTTGGCCAGCATTGCTGATGACTGGCGGGACATGCTGTGAAAATCTCCTAGGTGTGTGTGTTCCAATAACATCTGTGTGGACGTGCATGTGTATCTGGGAGTGAGTCTCTCTGTGTTAGAACGAACAGGAAGCATCCACTGGTTGTGTGAAATTAAACAAGTCAAGCATGTCTGTCCTTAAGAGTTTGGGTTCTGCAGACACATCCATTGCCCTCTGAGGTGAGGGAACCAGAATGTTCCAGCAGAGGCAGCACCATTGACCAAATACCTGTTCATTTTCCCCTTTTCGCTTCTTGGTCTGTTTAGAAATACTAGCATGTTCTTGCAAAGGCCCCTTCGCTCTGCCACCAGCTCCCTCCCTCCCGATGGGTGAAAGGTCTCCTTATCCCCTGTACAGTGGGCCCTTCACCCAGTATTTTGATTCCCAGGCGAGCCAGAGCTATACTCCTGGGAGGCCTGCCGTGGGGGCTGAGCCCTTCTAGCTGTGGGCTGGGCTCCCGGGGCCGAGGGCACTGCGCCCTCCTTGTTTGCCTCCTTCCCATGGGCCCATGCCAGGCACTCTTGCAGATGGCATAGCAGGTTACACGGTGCTGGGTGCAAGGCTCCAGAGGGGCTTGTGATCCTGGATGCTCACTGTTGAAGGGGCCTCTCGTGCCCGTGTTGTGGGTGCATAGTGGGAGCTGAGAGGACACACTGGGGGCAGCGGCCTTTGCCATCCAGAAATGGGCTCAGGGTGGAACCAAGATCCCTGAACTTGCCAGAGCCCGCGGCAGGCTTGCGCCATGGTGCGAGGAACGCCACATTTGGAGACTGAACGGATGGTGATGGATGCATGGGTCCCCTGGCTCAGGGTGTGACCCAACCCCCTCAGCCTTCTCCACCACCCAGGAAGCCACCCATGTCTGTGTCTTGTTCCCCACAGGGTCCTCCCGGCCCTACCGGTCCTCAAGGCCCCATCGGACAGCCGGGCCCCTCTGTGAGTATCTGCGCTCAGTGACCTCCAGAAAGCCCCGTGCCCCCCGGACCTGCTGCATGGCCAGCACCCTCACTTGTGCTTATTTCCCTGCAGGGAGCTGATGGCGAGCCGGGGCCTCGGGGCCAGCAGGGTCTTTTCGGACAGAAAGGGGACGAAGGTCCCAGAGGCTTTCCTGGACCCCCTGGGCCAGTGGGGCTGCAGGTAACTTCAGGGTTCTCACCTCACCTGTCTTTTAAAAGAATGGAAAACGAAAGCCAGGCTGCAGGGGACCTCCTGGGCCTCCTCATCCAACGGGAGGTGCCGTGGCTTCCCAGAATTCCAGACATGCCGCAGCCACCGCTCTTCAGCAGCCGCATTTATTTCCGTGCTCATTGTGGCAACTGATGATTTGTTAAAAAGAACGGCAACGATAACTTCTAAACGCACCCCCTAGAGATGACCATGAACGTTTGAGCACGTTTCATTGCCATGCTTTTAAATTTGTGTATTTTCATACACAGAGGCACATATGTCATTTTATTTGTTTTTTTTGCAAAATTAACCATGTCATAAGTCATAGAGAAAGTTTGTCCCCAGCTTTTCCCATTTTCCATCCCCCATTCCCATTGGATGTTATGAGGCATGTTGAACGCCATTACACGTGACTTTCTGTTTATTTGGGAAACATGATTTTCAGTCACTGCGCAGCGAGCCAGCATCTGGTGGTGACATAATTTACCCAGGCGTCCCCTGCTGATGGCTCCTTAAGCTTTATCATTTTATGGGACCTGCTATAAGCACCTTTGTCGTAAATCTTTGCAATCTTCTCTGCTTATTTCCTTGGGCTGATTCTGAGACTCGGAACCCCAGGACGTCCTGGTGGGTAGCTGTACGCAGAGAAGCAGCTTCCTGGGGCTTTGGGGGCTCAGTGGTGCTGTGTGGGTGGAGGTCACAGAAGTGATGGGTGTGTTTGACAGAACAGCACTTAACTGGGAAGTTTCCTGTTCTCAGGGTTTGCCGGGACCTCCAGGCGAGAAGGGTGAGACAGGAGACGTGGGCCAGATGGTAAGTGTGCCTGAGACTCCGGGGCCTGGCCGTAGGGGCGGCTCGTGTTTTGGGGAAATGTTTGCGTTTCCTCTGGGCTCAGTGGTCTCTCCCTTTTCCTAGGGCCCCCCAGGTCCCCCTGGCCCCCGAGGACCCTCCGGAGCTCCAGGTGCTGATGGCCCACAAGGTCCCCCGGGCGGAATAGGAAACCCTGGCGCAGTGGGAGAGAAGGTGAGGCCTTGTGCCTGCTCTGGTGGCAGATTCGTGGCTGTTTGGAGAGAGTTTTGTGTGTGTGTGTGCACACGCGTGTATATGTCTCTGTGTGTCTGTGTGCACACGCGTGTATATATCTGTGTGTGCATGTGTGTGTGCACACGCGTGTATATGTCTCTGTGTGTGTGTGCATGTGTGTGTACCTCTGAGTGTGATGTACTCATCTCTGTGCATGTGGCTTGCTGGATTATTCCTATGAAAGGCATTTTGAAACGTAGTCGAATACTTGTGAAATGGAACTGGGAACTCTGGGTGGCCACCTGGGACGTCCTTTTGCAGAGTTTCCAGACAGTGCCCCCACCAGCAAGGCCGCTGCCTCCTTCTCCAAGCCTCTGCTCCGGTGGAAATCGTCTGTTCCTTAAAGCGCTGGCCTTGCTAAGCGTGCCCTTTCCACCAGCTGAGTTATTTTCTCAGGGCCCCTGGCCCTCTCCAGTTCAGCTGATTGGTTTTGGAGCCAAGTGAGCATGATGGGCTGGTGTGTGTGTGTGTGTGTGTGTGTGTGCATGTGCCTGTGTATGAGAGCTCATGTGTGCACACATTTTTTTTTGTGTGTGCCTGCCTGTGTATGTGAGCTCATGTGTGCACATCGGTGTGTGCCTGTGTATGTGAGCTAATGTATGCACATCAGTGCATGCA